GCACTTGCACCCAGGTTCTAGTCCCAAGTCGGGGCGCCATGTTCTGTCCCGGTTGCTCCTCTTCCAGTTCAGCTCTCTGCTGTGGCCAGGAAGGCAGTGGAGGATGCCCAAGTGCTTGAGCCTGTACCGCATGGGAGACCAGGAGGAAGCACCTGGCTCCTGGCTTCAGATTGAGGCAGCTGCCCACTCCTGGGGCCCTGCACCCATGTGGGAGACCTGGATGAAGCTCCTGGCTTCTGCCTGGCCCAGCCCTGGCTTTTGTCAGCATTTGGGGAGAGAACCTGCAGATGGACACTGTCATTCCTTCAAATGATATTTTCTAAGTAAAACTATGTGCAACCAACAACAGTATTTCCTAATTTAACTCAAAGCATCCAAAACATTATTTCCAGAGGTAACTCACCTTCACCCTAAGGCTGACAACAATAACCCAGTGTGTCCAGTGTTTCTCATACCCAGCTGTCTGTCGCCACGTGTGGCTTGTGGTCACCACGTGGGACAGCACAGACTTAGATACATCAAAACAGCAGTTAGGGAGCTGGTGCTGTGATGTGGTGTACTAAGTTTCCGCCTGCTGCGCTGGCATCCCAGATGGCCCCCAGTTCGAGTCCCGGCTGCTCCACTTCCAATCCAGCTCTCTGCTGTGGCCTGGGAAAGCAGTGGAAGATGTTCCAAGTCCCTGGGCCCCTGCGCCCCCATGGGAGACCTGGAAGAAGCTCCTGGCTTCAGATTGGCTCAGCTTTGGCTATTTGGGGAGTGAAGACCTTTCTCTCTGTCTCTCCCTGTCTATAACTCGGCCTCTCAAATAAATACACCTTAAAAAGAAAAAAAAAAGGCAGTAGGGCAGAGCAGTCAGGGCTGTGGTGGGGGCCTACAGAGGCCCCAGGAAGTCCAGGGCCCCCAGCTACCTGGGCCCCAGGAAAGGGGGCGTGGAGGAGCCACGCTCAGTCCTAGAATCTAGGACGGACAGCCTAGGTCCCTTCTCAGCCTGGGATAGTGTCAGGCTGCCATGAGCCCAGGCCTGCAGCCAGGCAGGGGCGCCACTGCTCCCCAGAGTTAGGGCCTCTGAGGAGGAGGGGAGGTGGGGCCCACGGGGCCCACGGGGCCCACGGGGCCTGGCAGCAAGGATTCACCGTGGTTCTGTGCCTGCAGCCGGAGCACAGCTTCGAATTCATCAGCAGGGAGCTGTTTGTGCACGGCATCCGGAGGCTGCAGGCCCGCGTCCTGCTCATCAAGTGAGCCTGTCCTGGCCGCTGGCAACGCGGAGCCATCGGTGACCGGGGGGGGGGGGGGGGGCTCCCAGTTCTGGTGCGAGTCCTGCTGCTGCCCCTACCCTGCAGAGGCCCAGGGCAGTAAGACCTGGGCGGAGTGGTGGCCCAGGCCCGGCCTCGTCTCATCGGCGAGCTGACCCCTGACCCCGGCTTCCAGAGCCCTGCAAGGGTACTGCGACGTGAGGAGAGAGAACGACGCCGACAGGGAGCCGCTGCTCTTCATGCTGGCCACGCTGCGGTCCACCCTCACAGAGGTGAGTGGGGCCCAGGCGGCCGCTCTGCCCCCGAGGCTGGCGGGCCTCACTGCTCCCTGGCCGTCGCCCCTGGCTACCCAGGGTCCCCAGTAATCAGAGATCAGAAAACGAACCTGTTGGCAGTACCTTGCCGATTTACTGTTGTCCACATGCTTCAGGCCAGGCGTGACGCGGGACGGCAGCCCCATCACCCTCCACTGCCTGGTGGCACACGGCCAGGTGCGCTGGCTGCAAAGCTGGTGCCGGTCCTGGGAGCTTCCACAGGCAGAGGCGGGGCGGGGCCTCCGTGCCCCCAGCAGGGGCAGGTGGGAGGCTGCTCTGCCTCCACTCAGGACCCCCTCCCCAGACCCCGCCCCGCCATGCCTCGTGATGCACGTGGCCCTGATGCCCGTGTGGTCCGAGACCCCTGGGTGCTGCCTGGGGCCCCAGGCCGGCTGCTGCTGCTCTCGGGTGGGCAGGGCCACACCTCACCACGCACCCCTGGCTTCCACAGCGGTTCCAGTTCGTGGAAGTCCCAGGCAACCACTACGTGCACATGAACGAGCCCCACCACGTGGCCGGTGTCATCAGCGCCTTCTTACAGAGCTCGGGACCCCAGCCCGGCTGCAGCTGAGGCAGCTCGCCCCCCGCTCCAAGGTCCCGGCCGGCTCTGACTCTCACGGGGGGACTGGACTCCGAGCACCGGCAGCAGAGGTGGAGGCCAGGACGGGCGCTCCTGGGCCCGCAGCCCCAAGGCCCTGCACCCTCTCCCCGCGGCCCAGCAGAACGGGAAATAAACTGTCCTGGAGTTCTCACTGCCCTTTTCCACAGAGGGAGGGGGCACGGAGCACGTGGAGGGTGGGGCTGGGTGCAGGCCCAGGGCGAGCTGTCCTCAGGCGGGGGTCCCGGAGGTGCCCCCGCGGTGCAGGCTCAGTAGGGCCGGAACTTGCGCTGGGCCCGCATCAGCTCAATCCGCTGCTTGTCCTCCTCGAACTTCTTGCGCAGCTGTGCGAGATCTGGGGGTGCAGGGGACACAGGCGGGTGAGCGCGCCCCGCGCTGCCCTCCTGGTTCCATGGAGCTGCCCCCCCCCGCCCCCGCTGCTCTAGGGGTGTGGTCTGGACCCTGCAGGGACATCCCGGGACGGAAAAGGCCCCAGTGAGCGGATGCGCACGGAAACAAAGGTGCTTGTCCCCTCCGCCGGGTGCACAGGCCCCAGGGTCGCGTCCTCCTAAGCCCCAGCTGTGCCCACCGCGGAGGCCTCTACCCCAGCGCCACCAAGCTCAGATAGGAACTCTGGTCCCGGAGCGGCCCAGGCCACAGGGTAGGCGGGGGTTCAGAGTCCAAGGCAGGCAGGCTGAGGGTCTGGAGGGGACGCGTTGGGGTAAAGGGGCGATGGGGACCAGAGGGCCACCGACACGGCCTGGCCCGGACCAGCCCGAGCCTCTCACAGCCCACAGGAAAAACAGGTGTGTGCACACGGGCAGCTCACGGCTGCACCAGCCACGGCCACTCCACACTGGGCCGCCGGCTCTGCCCCCTCCTCAGACCCCTGCGATTGGGATCCTCACTGGCTGGAGACGGACGGGGCCCGGCCCAGGGGGCCCGGAGGTGGGTGCTACAGCCCAGGTGCTCTGCAGGTGCGAGTGAGCCAGGGCCCGCAGCTGCCTCTGGGGAGCAACAGGACCCCGGGGGTGCTGCCGGGGGGGCAGAGTACGGGGCCTGGCCAGGCTCCTCCCCAGGACGGGCCGGCCGCTCCCTTACGCTCCATCTTGGCCTCGCGGTGCTGCCAGGCGTAGAAGCTGAGCAGCTCCTTGCGGGCGCGCTTCCGCCTCTCCCTCTCCAGCACGCGCAGGCTGGCCGCCTCTGTCCGCGGGAGCACAGGCCGCCGGCCGCGGCGCGTCACCTTCACCCAGCCCTCCTCGTCGGGGACGCCCTCCTCCTCCTTGGCCTTGGCCTCCTCCTGCGGGGAACAGGGAACAGGACGCTGCTCAGGGCGGGCTCCTGGCGGGCGCCGGGGCCCCCCAGGGCGGTGCTGGGCTCGGGAGGACGGGACACAGGCGTGGCCAGATGCTGCCCAGCCAGGGCCCGGTCCGCAGGGAAGGGAGTGAGCCAGGACAGCAGGCCGCCGCCGCCCGGGAGCCTGGGCCTCACCTCGGCTGTCCTCTGGTCGTACGCCTCCATGAACGTGTCCACCTCCACCCGCAGGGCCTCGGGGTCCAGCACGGAGTCTGCGTAGTCGGCGATCCACTCTGCGGGACACGGGAGGGGCTCACAGGGCGGCTCAGGCCTGACATCCGGCCGTCCGGGGCTGCGGGTGAGGCCGGGCCTGCGCCTCCGGGCCTCCCCTCTCGGCAGGGGACGCCCCTCCCTCTGAGCCGCCCCCCCACCCAGGGCCCAGGGGGGCGCCCTGGCCACAGCGGTACTGACTGCGGATGCCACTGCTCACAGGGTGACTCTCCGTGGAGACCAGCAAGGGGCCCTTCAGGCTCAAGGCAGCCGACACGGCTCTTGGCTTCTGGAACACCACGTAGGCCACCTGGAAGCCCTGGGGAGACAGGTCAGAGTGGGGGCGGAGCCTGCTGCTGGGCCGGGGAGGGTGCTGGGCTGCTGCCGACCCCCGAGGCCCAGCCCGTGACCCTCAGGGGCAGCTCCACCCCGGTCACCCAGCGTCGGCTGGAAACGACACCTGCTCCCAGCTCCCCCCACAGAAGGGGCACCCAGGGGCCCTCCTCCCACCTTACAACAGGGACGCAGTGAAAGGCCGGCTCCCCCTGGGCCAGGGAGGGCCCAGGAGCCAGGCCCGGAGTGATGGAGAGACCACGTGCGCCCATCAGGCCAGACTCCACTATGCAGGGACAAGTACGGGCTTGGGGGAGCCGGGGACGAGGCCCAGGCCTGGGGAGGAATCTGCTGTGGCAGGGAGCTCGGGGTGGCCCCGCAGGGCCGCAAGCAGACAGACCCTGAGCTCCAACACGGGCAATGAGAAAGCCGGCAGGAAGTGCAGGCACGTGGCCGACGTGGGCACAAACGGGAGGACCCCTGCCTCCCCCACCCCCTTACACGCTGGGGACAGCACTCGGCCCGCCCCAGAAGCCGGTGCTGGGAGGCTTACGGGAACAGGCTTGGGGTGGAAGAACTTGGACGTGGGCTCCTCGGGGCTCTCGGCGAGGTCAGGCTTCGCCTGCAACCGCACGGACTGCACGAGGCCGCAGGGGCACAGGAGGCGTCCCAGGCATTCCTGCCGCGGGACAGATCAGAGTGAGCTGCGTCCCATCAGCCCGCCCCCAGGCAGCACAGCCAGGGGCCGGCGGCGCCCGGGGCTGGGAGCCATGCCTGCCTGCCCTGGAGAGCCCGGGGCCCTGCATCATTCCCCCACCACCCCCCACACAAATGTTTTCGGGGTGAGCACTGTGCCACAGCAGGTCAAGGCACCCAGCTCAATCCAGCTCCCTGCTGTGGCCTGGGAAAGCAGCGGAAGACGACCCAGGTGCTTGGGGCCTGCACCCACGTGGAGACCGGGAAGAAGCTCCTGGCTCTCGGCTTTGGCCTGGCCTACCTTCAGCCTTTGTGGCCATTTGGGAAGTGAACCAGTGGGTGGAAGACATCTGTCTGTCTGTCCCTCTCTCTAATGTTGCATTCCAAATGAATAAATCTTAAAAAACTTAAAAAAAAAAAAACAAACTTTATTTGAAAGGCAGAGACAGGAAGAGGGAGCTCCCACCTGCTGGTTCGCTCCCAATGCCCACGACAGCCATGGCCGGGCCAGGCTGAAGCCAGGAGTCAGGGACTCAACCCGGGTCTCCCACGCGTGGCCGTGGAGCCACCACTGCTGGCTCCAACGGGATGCGTCAGCAGGAAGCTGGAGTGGGCAGCCAGGTGCCCCAACACGGGCGCCGGCACCCCCGGCCTGGCATGTCCACCACGCCAGGTGCCCCGCCCCGCCCTCTGACCGCTTCCCTCGTGGACAACAGGGAGGCAACGCTCCCGCGCTCCCTCACACCAGACCAGGGGACATCTCTGGTGTTAGTCTGGCTCTGTAAGACAGTTTCCCCACCGAGCCAGCAGAGATGCGAATCCAGCGCTGGAATCAAGGCCGTGATACGGCTGGGGGGCACGCGGGGTCCCCAGGGGCGGGGTCTGAGCCCACGTGTGTTCGGCCGGGAAGTGCTGTGAGCTGCACGCCTGCCCCCCCCACATGTGCCACCTCAGTCAGGGTAACATGACACCTCTCTGCTTAGCCTTTCTTCCACTGTTTTTTTTTTTTTTTTTTTCCCGCTATGGTTTAATATTTATTTGAGAAGCAGAGTTACTGAGGTAGAGATGGAGAGCAGAGAGAGATCACTGCTTCACTTCCCAAATGGCAGCAACACCAGGGCCGGGCCAGGCTGAAGCCAGCAGCTGCATCCGGGTCTCCCACGCGGGTGCAGGGCCCAGCAGGGACTTGGGCCGTCCTCTGCTGCCTTCCCAGGCCACAGCAGAGAGCTGGGTCAGACGTGGAGCGGTGGGGACTCGAACGGGCACGGATGATACTGGCGCTGCAGACGGTGGCTTCACCCACTGTGCCACAGCGCCAGCCCCTCCTCTCTCTCTATCTTTTGGGGGTCCTAGAAATCATTTCTTATCTGGAAAGAATCGCTTTTAAAATCCAGCGAACTCCGGTTTCTCTTCTGTAAATTCGCCGACGCCTAGAGGTCAGCGCCTGTGAAGTTATCAGTGTGTCCGGAAGGAGGGCCCGTTACCCTCGTGCAGCTTTTCCCGCTTTTGTACGGGCACAAACGCATCACCGTCAACAGGAAAACAACACCGGGGCCACATGGGTTAAGCACTGCCTGTGGTGCCGGCACCCTACATGGACGCTGGTTCGAGTCCCGGGTGCTCCACTTCCCATCCAGCTCTCTGCTGTGGCCTGGGGAACCAGAAGAAGACGGCCCCAGTCCCTGGGCCCCTGCACCCACACGGGAGACCCGGATGCAGCTCCTGGCTCCCGCCTGGCCCAACCCCAGCACTGCAGCCTTCTGGGGAGTAAACCAGCAGATGGAAGACGCCCCCCCTCTCTGAAAACGCACGATTCACACGGTTCTGGGTTCTACATAAGCTCGGGGCTCCTCACATTTTGAAAACTACCTTCAGGAAGCCCATTCCCGCACCAGACACAGGCGGGCCCCTCAAGACCCTCCCTGGGCTGCTGCCACCTCACCACAGGGGCCCACGTCCCCTCCCAACAGCGGCTCACCTCCGTGCAGTATGGGGGCACGTTGAGGACAAAGAGGGTGCGCTTCTGAGGCCAGGAAGACGGGGCGCCTTCTCGAACCTTGTGTTCTCTCAGGTACAGGTAGTGGGGCGCCTGCTGCTTCTCTGAGAACTTGACTGGAACGGCTGGGAGGGGGAGGGAGACGGGCCGGGGCCCGGTCAGCTCCAGGCTCTCTGAGCCAGGGCCGCTCGGCACGTCGTCCTTACACGATTTCCTCTCCGCACCCCTTTTCGGTCCCCTCTGGGCACCCATGCTTCACGGATCCCTCCCCTGGGCGGGCACGGGGACCCTCGACCCCTGTGCCCGACACCGGAATCAGCAACATGGCTCGGAGACCCTGCCCGCCCCCACCTCCTCCCCGACAGCCAGGGCCCCGCACGCTGCCCTCCGGCCTGGCACCCACTCCCAGGTTTCAGCGCAAACCCGCCCTGCTCGGGGGCCTCACCCTCACCCCTGCTCGGCCAGGTCAGACCCCTGCCGTGGCCCATCCTGGGGGGACCTGCTTAACCGCTGGCATTCCCCCGAGGGAGTGCGTGCTCCTTGTTCGAGAAGCACAGAGAGCTCCCATCTGCTGTTCACTCCCGAAACCCCGCAGCGGCTGGGGTCAGGCGGAGCTGAGGCCAGGAGCTGGGAACTCAACCAGGCCACCCGTGTGAGCAGCAGGGACCCTCGACCCCTGAGCCAGCGCCGGCAGGGTGCTGGGGCCAGGAGCCCGCGCACGCCCACGTGGGACGCACGTGTTTCGGCAGGCGTCCTTTTATTTATTTAAAGGTTTATTTATTTGAAAGACTTAGAGACAGAGACAGCTCTTGCACCCCCTGCAAAGGCCAGGGCTGGGTCAGGCCAAAGCCAGGAGCCAGGGCCCCAAGTACTTCGGCCGCCTTCTGCTGTTTTTCCCAGCCCATTAGGAGGGAGCTGCGTCGGAAGTGGAGCGGCAAGGACTCGAACCGGCGCCCCTATGGGATGCGGGCATCTTAACGGCTATGCCACGCCCTGGCCCGGGCCTGTTTTCTGGTTGTCTGGGTGCCCCTCTGGAGCACAGCAGGATACGCTGGATGGAGAAGGCAACGAACACGCGGGCAGGCAGAGACAGTGGTGAGGCCGCAGCTCTGCCGCCGGGGGCCACTGGGCGCCGCCTCCTGGGGGAGACAGCGGGCAGCAGGCGCGCACAGAGCTGTGGGGGGAGGGCACAGCCAGCGCAGGACCCCGAGGGTGGGAGAGCCAGGGCAGAGCACAGAGCACGTGGGCCGGCTGCTCACAAGCCCATACGGTGACTTTAGGGGTGGGTGGTGGGCCCTGGGGCTGGGATAAGCGCGCCCAGGTCTAATTCAGACCCCGGGAGGCGGGGGCGATGGCTCAGTCGTTTGGTTCCCCCACCCCCGTGGTAGACTTGGACTGAATCCCCGGCGTCGGCCCAGCTCAGTCCCAGTCGCTGCCAGCATCTGCGGAGTGAACCGGTGGCTGGAGACACTTTGCCTCTCAAATAAATGCAGATAATTAAAGACACAATAAACCGGACTTCGGCTCTGACACGTGCGTGAACGGACGGCAGGAGATGGACCAGTGAGAGCACAGGGACCGGGGGCGGCTGGGCTAGGAGCGCTAAGCAGGTGACCGGAAGCGAGCCGGGCCCCTGGCCGGCGCGGGGTCGCTCTGGGCGACACGGTGGTCAGAGGTGGGCCCCCGCCAGGGAAGCGTGAACGGGACAGGCTCCGGAAGGGCGCCGCGCGGGTCCCCGGGGCTTCCCGCCCAACCACGCGGCCGCTCCCGGAGGCCCCGGGCCGCCGCCGACCCCGGAGCCACCTCCTCGCGAAGCCCGGCCGCCCCTGCGCCGCGTGCCCCGAAGCCCCTCACCCGAGTAGCCCGGCGGGCTCAGCGTCGCCTCTTCGCCGCCCGGAGCCGCCAGCTTCCTCCTGCGCGCCACCATCTTGCCTGCCGGAAGCGCGGGGGCCGCCGGGAGTTGTAGTTCTGCGCGGGGCAGGGCGCGTTTCCATGACGACGGCGCAGCGCGTCCCGGCCGGTTCCGGTCTGTCTCTCGCTCGCAACGAAGTCGCGGGCGCCGGCGCGAGCTGGACACTTGAAGCGGGAGGGGCTGGGAGCGGCCCCAGCCTGCGGGATCGGCGGACCCAGGCGGGCACCTCCACCGCGGCTCCGAGCGGCGCGGAGCCTGGCCGCCCTGGGGCAGTCGCAGCGAGGCGGGGGACGTTCTATAGGATTCCAATAGGATTCGCCGACAGATGGGATAGGGCGTGGGAGAGGTAGCGACATCTAGAGTGGCTGCGCGATTTTCGGCATGAGACACTGGAGGGCGCCGCTGAGGACCCCCGGGCGGGCCATGTGCAGCTGGCCTCTGCCTGTCCCACCCAGGAGCGCCGGGTCCCGGCTGCCCCACTTGGGCGCCCTGCTAATGCCAGGCAGGCAACAGAATATGGCCAAGGGCTCGGGTCCCTGCCACCCACGTGGATGTGCCCTGGCTCTTGGCCTCGGCCTCGGGGCCATTGCGGGGTAGCCTCGTGGGTGGAAGCTGTCTCCCCTCCTCCCTTCAAATAGGGGCAGTGAGTGCAGACAGAAGTCCAGGGTCTCCCAAGGCCCCTGGGTTCTTGAAATGGCGGTGGGTGCTGCGGCAAGGACTCGGGGACTTCTGCAGCCACTCGTGTGGGTTCACGGGTTTCTTCCCAGGGGCCTGGGCCGGCCTGGAGGCCGAGGGAGGGGCCGAGACCGCCCTGGGCAGCTTGCAGCGTCCTGCTGCGGCTCTGATGGCGGCTGCCAAGCCGTCCCACGGCTGCCATGGGCCCTGGGGGCGCCATGGCTATTGGCCACCCCCTCAGAACCCCGAGACCCTGCTCCTGCCCCAGCGCTGCCATCACCCGAACCCCTCCCCTTCAGTACGTCCCGGACCTCGGAGCACGGCCACGCCTGGGCGCCAGGGCCTCCACAGGGCGCTCCTTACCGCCTGGGTGGCGCCGCCTCCCGCGGGCCCTGCGCAGGCTTCTCTGGCCTTTCGGAACCCTCGGCCCTTCTCAACACGTGCCGAGATGGTTCTCACCCTCGCGTCTCTTCCACACTTCCGGGGCCACCCGGAGGCCGGTGAGGACTGGCTCCAGGTGTCCCTGGTGGATGCCTTGCCATGCCTACAAGGGGCCCCCCCTCACCCAGCCTCGGGTGGGAGTCCTGCGTTCCTCCCAGAGCAGGGACGAGCCCCCGGCCAGGCCGCGGCAAACCTGACTCTGCTGTAGACGCAGAGGGCACGGGGACAGGCCTGTGCTGGGGTGGTCTCTGTGGGGGGCTGTTAGCCAGTAATGAGGGCTGGGCCACCTCTGTTGGCTCAGGGGGCTTGTGGGAATCTAGGGTTCGAGACCCTTGAGCCCATCCACATCCACCCAAATGTCCCCGTGTGGCGGCACGTCCCGCCCTGGCCCCGCAGAAGTGTCCGTCCTGAGCCCACTTCCCTCCTTGGCAGGCCAGTGCCGCTCACCACTGCCCTGTGCCCAAGAGGACCAGGCAGGCACTGCCACCACGCGCCCCAGCCGCCCATGCTGTGGACAAACTTGCCCCACAAGTTTGGACCATCCTCTACTGCTACCCCAGCAGAAAGTGGGATCGAAGAGGAGCAGCCAGGACTTGAACTGGTGCCCAGAAGGGAAGCCGGCGCTGCAGGCCACAGCTTTACCTACTACACCACAGCCAGCCCGTTTTTTCCTAAATTTTATTGATCTGAGACAGATCTCCCATCCACTGTTCATCCCCCAAATGCCTACAACGGCCAGAGCTGGGCCAGGGACTCAATCGGGTCTCCCAAGTTGGTGGCAGGGGCCTCTGGGCGATGGCTTCCTGCAGATTATCCGGAAGGAGGAACCGAAGGCAGAGCAGGGCTTGAACCCAGGCTGGCCCAGGGCGCAGGCCTCCCAGGCAGCATCTTGTCTACATGAATGCCCACCCAGAACTCACTGTCCTAACCTGGGGAAATCTCAAATTCAGACCCAGGCCCTGCAGTAAGAGGAACTCCGGGGCAGTGCTGTGGCATAGCGGGCTAAGCCTCTGCCTGTGGTGCCGGCATCCCACATAGGCACTGGTTGGAGTCCCGGCTGCTCCACTTCTGATCCAGTTCTCTGCTGTGGCCTGGGAAAGCAGCAGAAGAAGGCCCAAGTCCTGGGGCTCCTGCACCCACGTGGGAGACCTGGAGGAAGCTCCTGGCTTTGGATAGGCACAGCTCCTGCCGTTGCGGCCATCTGGGGAGTGAACCAGCGGATGGAAGACCTCTCTCTCTCCCTGCTTCTCTGCAACTCTGTCTTTCAAATAAATCAATCTTGAAAAAAAAAGGGGGGATTTTGCAATAAAGCCACACAGAGTTCAGCTTCCTGGCCCACACACGTTATGCTTACGTTATACTCAAGTGTGCGATAGTACTGCCTAGAAATGCACTATATTTATCTTTTTTTTTTTTTTTTTTTTTTGGACAGGCAGAGTGGACAGTGAGAGAGAGACAGAGAGAAAGGTCTTCCTTTGCCGTTGGTTCACCCTCCAATGGCCGCCGCGGCCAGCGCGCTGCGGCCCGCGCACTGCGCTGATCCGATGGCAGGAGCCAGGAGCCAGGTGCTTTTCCTGGTCTCCCATGGGGTGCAGGGCCCAAGCACCTGGGCCATCCTCCACTGCACTCCCTGGCCACAGCAGAGGGCTGGCCTGGAAGAGGGGCAACCGGGACAGAATCCGGCGCCCCGACCGGGACTAGAACCCGGTGTGCCGGCGCCGCAAGGCGGAGGATTAGCCTAGTGAGCCGCGGCGCCGGCTGCACTATATTTATCTTAAAAATAGCGCTGAGGGTGAGGAGGTCTTGGCCTTTTCTAGGTCAGGGAGGTCTGCTGCGCCGACCCGCCCTTCCTGGCCACAGAGCTGCCCCACGGCCGGAGCCGAGTCCCGCAGACCCTGCTCTGTCAGCTGGGCGTCCGGGAGACTACATCCTGTGGCCGGTGCCACGATGCCCACCCCCTTCCCAGGACATCACTCCATCCCGTGGGGCCGGCGGTGGGCCTTGCGGTTAAGATACCTGTGTGCCTGGGTTGATACCACGACCCACTCAGCTCCAGCTCCCAGCTGACGTGTACCTTGGGGGCAGTGGTGCAAGCCCAAGGAACTGGGCTCCTGCCACTCATGAGGGAGACCTGAGTTGAATTCCCGGCTCCTGCTTCGCACCGGCCCAGCCCCAGCCCCGCGACTGTGTGACTTGGGGAACAGCAGAAGGGGACACCTTCATCTTGGGGGGCTCTGGGGGGCACCGTGGGGCAGCAGCAGCAGAAGGGGACACTTTCATCTTGGGGGGCTCTGGGGGGCACCGTGGGGCAGCAGGGTTAGGCCGCCACGTTTGAGACACCTGCACCCCGCAATGCAGAGCCAGTTCACTGTGACCCAGCTTCCTGTCCACATGTGCCCCGGCCGGCAGGTGATGGCTCAAGTACTTGGGTCTCTGCCACCCACACAGGAGACCCAGATGGAGCTCCAGGCTCCTGGTTTTGGCCTGGCCCAGCCCCGGCTGTTGTGGGCGTTTGGCAGGCGGACCAGCAGGTGGAAGGTCTCTTTCCAGTGGATGAAAATAAGCATCGAAAAAGTTTTCTCAATAAACCGCTTTGTGCATCCAGGAAAGTTCCATCATGAGTTGAAGCAATTCAGTCTCATCCTCGTTCTCACCCTGTTTCCACCGCACTTGTTACTTGTATCTTTTTCTTTTCTTTTTTTTGACAGGCAGAGTGGACAGTGAGAGAGAGAGAGAGAGAGAGAAAGGTCTTCCTTTGCAGTTGGTTCACCCTACAATGGCCGCTGCGGTCACCGCGCTGATCCGAAGGCAGGAGCCAGGTGCTTCTCCTGGTCTCCCATGGGGTGCAGGGCCCAAGCACTTGGGCCATCCTCCACTGCACTCCCTGGCCACAGCAGAGAGCTGGCCTGGAAGAGGACCGGGACTAGAACCCGGTGTGCCGGCGCCGCAGGTGGAGGATTAGCCTAGTGAGCTGCGGCGCCGGCTGTTACTTGTATCTTACGGAAGTCACTGGTGAGGGCTGCAGCCAGCTTCCTCAGGCTCCGGTCCGCGTTGGCATGTTGCTCTCCCATGCATCACTGTTCTCGAAGGCATCTAGATGGTGACCCTTGCAGAAGGGCCTCCGTCTCCTCCAGCGGAGTCACTGCATACGGCGGCCGTCGCGTTACAAAACACACCTCCCAGGGGACTTTGACGTAAAACGACTCCTCATCTGTGCACCGCAGGATGGATGCTGTTACAAAACTGCATTTCAGCCGGCGCCGCGGCTCACTAGGCTAATCCTCCGCCTGCAGTGCCAGCACCCTGGGTTCTAGTCCCGGTTGGGGCGCCAGATTCTGTCCCGGTTGCTCCTTGTCTGGTCCAGCTCTCTGCTGTAGCCCAGGAGTGCAGTGGAGGATGGCCCAAGTGCTTGGGCCCTGCACCCCAGGGGAGACCAGGAAGGAGCACCTGGCTCCTGGCTTTGGATTGGCACAGCATGCTGGCTGTAGCGGCCATTTTGGGGGGGGGATGAACCAACGGAAAAAGGAAGACCTTTCTCTCTGTCTCTCTCACTAACTCTGCTTGTCATAAATAAATAAATAAATAAAAATTAAAGAAAACTGCATTTCGCATTTAGATTCGTGCACCCATCTGAAAGGTAGAGCAACAGAGTTCCGCCTTCCACCTGCGAATGGCCCACTCCCCGAATGGCCGCACCAGGCGGGTGTTGGCCAGGAGCCAGCAGCGCCAGCTGGGTCTCCCATGTGAGTGGCGGGGTGCAAGCACCTGGACCCTCCTCTGCTGCCTTCCCAAGTGCGTCAGCAAGAAGCCGATCAGAAGCGGCGCCATGATCTGCTGTACCGCAATGCTGGGCCCTCAACACTTCCGCTGCACACCTCCATCCGGGCTTTGGGGTGGCCACAGCAGCAGTATTTTCAAAGGAACCATTTTTTCCTGAGCGGTTCTCAACAGCAGGCTTAAAATATCCAGCAAACCAGGTTGTAAAACAGATGTGCTGTCACCCTGGCTTTGCTGTTCACTCGTGGAGCAGGGCAGAGCAGAGCTGGGTGGCTGAAGGGCCAGGGGTTTTCACGGTGGTCAGTGAACACTGGCTCTTAGCCACCAGCTGTGAGCTGGCACTGATTGCTAGCAATCTGCGTTCTAGACGCATCTCCCCCCATCTCGCCCAGTAAAACCACGGCCTGGTGCAGCCGAGATCTCTGCTCCGTGTCCGGGTGACCTGCTGCGCCCTGCATTTGTTAGACGGCTGCCTTCCTTCCACCTCAGGGACCGCCCTCTGCCCGCTTCAAACCTCCTCCTGCAGCCTCTCCAAGCCCTGACAGGTGAAGGTAGGCAGGGCTTACTGGGGTTAGGCTTCGGCTCAAGGCAACGTTGCGCACGGCGTGATTTATCCAGGCCTTTAAAAGTTGTTCCGTGCCAGCTCTAGAACGCAGTTTCTTACCATTCATGGCCTCACTGCAGTAGCGTTTTTGCTTTTTACAAAGTTCACATTTAGTGTTTCCACTGGTTCACTCCCAAATGGCCCCCTGCAGCCAGGGTAAGCCAGGAGCCTGGCACTGCTGGGTCTCCCATGTGGGCAGCAGGGGCCCAAGCACCGGAATCATCATGTTACCTCCCAGAACATGTTAGCAAGAAGCTGGATCGGAAGCGAGGTAACCAGGGCTTGACCCAGCACGCCGACACGGGAGGCAGGCGTCCAAGCAGAGGCCCAGCCCACTGCACCACAAAGCCCACCCAAGAAGCATTTTTTAATTTCCTTCAAGAACTCCTGCTTAGCATTCACAACGTGGCAGTCTGGCACGGGGCCTGGCTTTTCGCCCATCTCGGCTTTCAGGACCTCCTCACTAGGCTCAGTCAATTCTACCTTTTGGTTTAACCTGAGACACAAGACTCTTCCTTGCATCTGAACACTTAGAAGGCCATTAAAGGGGTAGTACCTGGCCTGCTGCCAGTACTGTGTCCCGGGACAGGGAGCCACGGAGACAGAGGTGGGAAAGAGGAGTCAGCACACACATTTACCAAATCTGCTGTCCTGGATGGGCATGGTTCGCGCTGCCTGAACAACAGTTAACATCGCTAACCACTGGTCACTGAACATAGAAAAATAACAGAAACTTTTATTCATTTGAAAGGCAGAGGGCGAGTTTTCCCATCCACTGGTTCATTCCCTGAACAGCCGCAATGCCCGGGCTGGTCCTGGCCGTTGCCATCTGGGTCTCCCACGTGGACGTCGGAGGCACAAGCACGTGGGCTGTCCTCCACGGCTTTCCCAGGCGCATCGGCAGGGAGCTGGATCGAAGTGGAGCAGCCGGGACACTGATGCTCCAATATGGGATGCTGCCGTTGCAGCTTAGCCACAAGGCCAGCCCCAGACTTCTGAAATACTGAGAATTACCAAAATGCTGGTGGAGAACCAGCACCTGTATGCTGGACAGTTGTCGCAATCCTTCAATTTGCAGGGAAAAGAAAAATAAAGCAAGCAATGCCGGCAAAGCATGACAACGCCAAGTGTGACAGAACGAGCGATGCTTGTCGCGTCGGCGTTCTCCTTGAAGGAACTCCCGCAGACAGCAGTCAGGTCATGGGTTCCCGCTCCAAACACCTGCAGCGGCCAAGGGGCCGAATTCGCCATCTGCCCCCAGGACCTGCGTTAGTAGGAAGCTGTGACATAGGACACCACTACTCAAACCCGCGTCTCAGCTACCAGCAAACACCCACCCTGCAGTGCGATCTAAGCCTTCTTTATTTATTTGAAAGGCAGTTACAGGGAGGCGGAGAGGTCTTCCATCTGCTGGCTCACTCCCCCAGATGGCCACAACGGCCAGAGCTGGGCTGATCAGAAGCCAGGAGCCAGGTGTTTCCCCTGGGTCTTCCACATGGGTGCAGGGGCGCAAACACTACTGGGTTCCCAGGCCATGGCAGAGCTGGATCAGACTGGGATGCCGGCGCTGCAGGTGGCGGCTTTACCGCTCCGCCACAGCGCCGCCCCCAGGTAGTACGTTTTAAGCAGTGTACCTCCATCGTCCCAGTCAATACACCACGTAAAACGTTAAGGCTCAAGTCTCCCTTCCATCTCATTTTACTCCTTCCGGCCTTCCCAAGGGATACCTGACCTTTCAATTCCACCTGACCTGCAGCGCCTGAGTGCATTCTCACACGGAGTGGCTGCTCCAGGAAGTGCCCCGTATGTGCCAATGACTGCCGTCGTACACGCACCGAGTTCTCACGGGCGTACGAAGCTTCTCCACACCTTTGGCCCTCACTCGTGCAGTAATTTAGAATTCCCTCCGCACACACTGAGGACACATCAGACAGCGCCTTGGCCATCAACCATATTTAGAAAACTCAAGAGAAAACTGCTCAGATGGTTTTCCCTTGCTGCCTGAGGGCTTGTGGGCTTTTTGTCTTTAATTTTCAGAACTCTGTGATGTGATGTGGTGTGAATTTCTCTGATCCTGCTTGAGGCTCACCAGGCCTCTTGATTCTGCAGGTTTCTCTTTCTCGTTATTTCTGGGCACTTTGCTGCCATCATTCCTCCAACTGCTCACCCCATCCTCCTCCTTCATTTCCCAGGCCTCAACACTGAGTTTACAATACCATAGATTTCTCTCTTTTTTTTATTTTTTAAAGATTTATTTTATTTGAAAGACAGAGTTACAGAGGTAGAGACAGAGGGAGATCTTCCATCTGCTGGTCTACAACCAAATGGCCACGACAGCCAGAGCTGTGCCGATCTGAAGGCAGGAGCCAGGCGCCTCTTCCGGGTCTCCCACATGGGTGCAGGGGCCCAAGCAGCGCTGCCTCCCAGGGCGCACACCAGCAGCAGGCTGAAAGTGGAGAGCAAGGACCTCACTCGGGCCCTCCCACACGGGGTGCGGGGCGCCAACAGGGGCTCAGTGTCAGCTCAGATGCCAGCCCCCAGCCCACTTTTTTCTTGAAGACTTTGTACCATCTTCCACTGCCTTCCCAGGCCACAAGCAGAGAGCGGGATCAGAAGTGGAGCATCCCGACATGAGCCAGGGCCCGTATGGGATGCCGGTGCCACAGGCGGAGGCTCAGCCCACGTCACAGCAGCGCTGGCCTCAACACCTTTTTTCCTTTTAGATTTATTTTGAGGCAGAGTTAGAGAGGAAGAGGGAGACACACACACACACACACACATCCGTGGTTTACTCCTCAAAAGCTACAATGGCCACGGCTGGGCCAGGCCAAAGCCGAGAGCCTGGAACTCCTCCCACTTGGTGCAGAGGCCCGAGACCTCGTGCCGTCTTCTGCTGCTTCTCCAGGCACATCAGCAGGAAGCTGGATCAGAAGTGAAGCAGCTGAGACCCCAATGGTACCCGTATGGGATGCCAGCTTAGCCCCGTGTGCCAGCACCAGCCTCCCAGTCCACTTTCAATACCGTAATGAAATCAACCACAACCAACCAGTTTCTTCTTTCCTGAAGTGCACCACACCCGTGAATGCGACTTCCAGCGAGGCGCTGGGCACGGTGCGCCCAGGAGCGCCGCGTCACCGCCACACGCCTCGTGGACATCAGCGCTCACATCCCTGAGTGGCCGTGGCCACGGCCGTGGCGCCGCGAGCCCCGCGAGCCAGTGTGCAAGCCTGGGGCTGACAAGCAGAGACGCCGAGGCAGATGCCCGCTTCCCGGCATCAAACCCCACAAAGGCCACTTCACACGTTTCAAGAAGCACCTGCTCCAAGATAGGAATAACAAACATTTATTCAGAAATGGGTCGTACAGTCATCCCCTTCCCTCCTGCTGGACAAGAGACGGACAGCTCACGAGGGCGGAGGCTGGAGGGTGACGCTCGGCCCTGTTCCCCAAGATGACAACCTGTGAGCAGGGGAGGCAGCAGCCCCTCCTGCCTCAACGTACCGTACGGTCACCCAGGGCCAGGCGTGTCAGCCGAGCTCAGGGGAACTGCGCTAACCAGAGCCGCACGGCCTGGGAGTCTCAGGCAAGGCCCTGGCACGTTTCCACCGGCACCCTCGGCAGAGTCCACGCAGAAATCGGACTGCTGCCAGTGCCAGAGAAACCCAGGCCTGCTGCTTCCGGGTGCTCTCGTGGGCAGGAAGGGTCGGGTGGGAGGAATGTCTTCCAGTGGCTGACAAGAATTAGGTCTGTACCCACTGACGGGGGCAGGGGAAAGAGCAGCCATCTTTGAAGAACCAGGAAGTGGAGCGCGGCCAGGAAGCCTTCCTGGACCTCCCTGGCCTGGGCACCTCAGAGCTGGACTGAGCAGGGGTCAGACGCTGGCTCCGTGCTGCCTGCCGGATTTCTAGCTGTGGGAACCCCGACCTCCCCAGTGCGCCGCGCCGGGCCAGCACCAGGCGAGTCCTGAGAGGCTCTGAGTGCCGTGCCTGCTCCCTGCACTGCTCGCCAGCTGCCCCCCAGCTCTGCCTGCTGGAGCCCCTCTGATCCCCACAAACCAGCAGGGTGCTGCCGAGTGACAGCAGGGGCTTTACACTGTTCTAGAAACAACTGAGGCAAGAGACAGAAGCAAGCTAACAACTCTCATTTAAATAATCCCCCAAAGCCATGACGTTGAAAAGGAGGCGGAGCTCTGGACAGGCCCAGCTTTTGCACCCAAAGCGGGGTGTGCGGGGCTACACTGGATGAGGACTGTGAGGCCAACACGTGTTGCAAGGTCCCCAGCAGGCCAAGCGGACACAGGGAGGACACAGGACGGTGCAGGATCTCACTCTGGGCTGCTCCAGACAGCCCTGGCCTCCACTCCCGGAGCCCGGTGCAGTCTTCCTGGCAGGGCCTGGAGCCCCTCGTGCCAGGACAGGGGGCCCGTGCCCGGATCCCTACCCATCAGTAGTGGTGGGCTCATGGCTCCCACCAGGATGGCGGGGTTCCCACGCACAGCTCTGCAATGCTAAGTAATGAAGGGAAGACACTGTCCCTCACTCCTGCCGCAAGCCAGCGGGGCCTCGCAGCAGCGGGGTGAGAAATCTGCCTGGGGCTGAAGGGAGGGCAGGAACACCCAGAGAAACTCAAGCCTACCTTAGTGATGGTGTGGAAGGGAGGAAACGCACTACAGGACATGTTAACATACAGGAGGGCGCAGTGAACACAGCGTGGAACGCCGGCCCCGTCCAGTGAGGAAGCTCCACCCCTGGCGGCCTGCCCCGCTCAGGAGGCTGCAGTCCAGCGGCCCCTTGGTCACGAGCTTTGCCTGGGGAGACAGGGCCACCCTCCTCTGCCTCACCCCCCTGCTCAGAGTTTGATTTTGAACTCTGTGGGCTGTGTGGTGGCTGAGGCCCCGGAGGACTTGAAGAGCGCCTTCAGGATGGTGTCAGGGTCCACTTCCGCTGCGGGGCTGGAGGAGGCAGCGTTCACCCTGCGGGGCAGCTCAGGGTCCCTTTTCACTGCGGGGCTGTCACTCAGTCGCCTGTGGGGAGCACAGAGTTAGGGCCTTCGTCAGCTTCTCCTGCGACGGGGAGGGCCCGTCACTGAGCGTCTGGCCGAGCAGGTTCCCGGCACAGATGGCCCCTGTCTCCTCCGTCTCACAGCCAGCCTGTCACTTTCCTTATTTACTGCTGAGAAAACTGAGGCGGCTGCCGGGGTCTGCGTGCCCCTCCGTGCTGTAACACACTCTAGCCTATCGCACAAGACGCCCGAAGGGAAGAAACCCATTTACTCAGGTTAGCCCAGTGATTCCCAAACTCACTAGGTCACGAAACCCTAAGGCACGTTTTCAGAACGTAACTTTACACTTGGAACACGGTATAGGAAACTTGTCCAAACCACGTAATCCACTGCCTAGGGTTCAGAGTCAAGCCTTTTCTATCTCAAAGTCTGTTTCAGGGCTGCCCACACGATCCCACCCACCCTGGCGGTGCAGCCTGCTCTTTGGAAACGCCGTCCTGCCATGGACAGTACGTGCATCTCAAGCTCCGGAACAGTCCTCGGCGTGGGACAGGCGTGTGTGCTCAGGTGGCCAACAAAGTGACAGACCGCACCGGGCACTGTCCCGTCAGCGCCGTCATCTAGAGGATGCACACGCGTGCAAAGCAGGACGCGAGGGACCTGCCCTCCACTTCCCTCCTAGAGTCTCAGCTACAAGGGTGGGACCAAGGTCAGAATGCCACCCCTGCAGCGCCCACCGGGGAACCGGAGACAAAACCATCCTGACTCAAAGCTGCACCCAGACAGGAGAGGAATGGAACGGAAGATGGAGGCAGGTGTCTGTCCCCCATCAGGAGGCGGCGGCGAGCAGTACGTGGGCAGAGCAGCTCTGCACCCCAGCCCCCTCTGGGACTTACAGCAGGATGGGCTGGTCCGACGTGATGACGTTCCCGTTCATGTGAAGGTTGCACTTCATTGGCTGCCCTGCAAAACCCAAGAAAGAAAAGGCTGTGCTCTGGGTCTCAGCTCCCCACACCAAGGACAGGGCTGCCAGACACGAAGGAGCTCCCAGGAGACACCCTCAGCAAGGACGGCGCCAGGAAGCAGAGTGGCAACACATCCTGCTTCTCAGCCAGTGGGAGACGGCAGCGGTGCCCTGCTCGCCTGTGAAGCCAGCAGTAAGGGAGCAGGTACGGGCGGAGCTGAGTGAGGACAGGCTGCCACGTTCAGACTTCTCTCCGTGAGGGGGGCCTGCTCAGGGCCTCACCCCCGGGATGAGAGATGTGATACACGTCACAGGAACAGCACAAGAGGGGAGCGGAGGAGCAGAGTCGGGGCCCTGTTGTGGCACAGCGAGCGAAGGCCGCTCCCCCATCGTACCGTCCAGACACCGGTTGTTGTACTTCTTATATGCGGTGATAGCATCGTCCTTCTTCACAAAGACCACCTCTGCGACCCCAGGATGGACCAGCCGAGCCCGCTTGAGGGCTCCACACACACAGAAAAGCTCCTGTAAGCAACAAGAGGGGATGGGGTCAGGAGGTCATTCCTGACGGCCTGTCACTCGCACCCTCAACACAGGACTGGCTGAGGGGCAAGTCGCACTAGCAGGGGAGGGCGGTCCGGGTGTCCGTGTCACCACCTCCTCCAGAGGGTCACAGTCACAGCCTTTCTCCCAGAGCTGTCACGGGAGAGGGCAGGCAGGCTCACACAACAGTCAGTGCGTCACCTGAGTCTGGGGTTCTACCCAGCACGACCACAGTCTTGTGCGGCCAGAGATCTCCCAGGACAAGGAAGCTGACGCAGGGATGAATGAGGCCGACCAGCACTCAGGTCACCTCTTCACCTGCGACTGCCTACTCCAGGCTGTCATCAGGACCAGCGCGGCTCCCGCAGGTCCTTGAACAACTTGTTTTTAACCAAAGGAAACACGTTTATATCAAGACTGAAATGTCAGGTGTGAGCCGTTTTCCTGCTGTTACCTCACCGACGCCTGACTGGGTAGAGCAGGAGGCAGAGCGAGTGCTCCTGGCACGTTCCCGAGTGGGGGTGCTTCCAGGCGCTCAGTTTCTCGCCACGAAGCATTTTCCAAGACCCTGTACGCCACGTGCCTGGCTAGTACTTCTGCAATCGGGAACGTGTTTAATTTTCTATCAGACAAGCAGGCGAGCTTTCCCTTCCCGCACGGACTGTTCACCGCACCGCCAGAGCAGGGGAGCCCAGGCAGCTCGGCGCCAACTTCACGGTGAAGACCACTGACCACCGTGGTGCGCAGCAGGGCCCGTTCCAGAGCCAGCCAGCCAGCTGCATGGCCAGCTGCAGTCCTTTTGTGATCTCACAGTTCAAAGCGCGCCTGGATGGCTAAACGAGTGGTTTTGGGGGTGTCTGCATGCGAACGAGCTTTCAAAGGAAGCTTTCATTCACCAGGCACCTGCCAGGTTCTGCCGTGACTGCAACAACAGGACAGGCAAGACAGAAGGGCAATTCAAAGGGGTCAATCGGCAGGTCCTACCCAACCCTCTTACTCCTTTTACATGATGGTGTCATCAAGGAAACCCCCGAAGAGGCAGGAAGTTCGAGTCTCAAGAGAGGCATCAAGCACTAGGTGCTGCCCAGCAGAACTGAAGGGCCCACTGAGGACCCACCAGACAGACGTCCCCTGTCCCGGACACCCCGCCAGGAAACCGGCCCGGGCGTGGACACTGCACAGGAGTGACCAGAGCCAGCCTGCCTGCTTCCAAGAACTGGGTCAACAGTCCAGCTTCTGGTGAACACCTGCCTTCCTTCTGGGAGGCGGGACTGTCACAGGCAAGGCAGAGTCACTGGGGACAGGCCACCAGCGGAAGCCCCGAACGCTGCGTCCTCATGAGCGCCCGCCCCACCCCGTGTCATCGCTGGCTGCTGGGGGAGCAGCTGCGCCGAGGACTCGGGGGCTTACGACTGGTCTCCCCCAGCAACACCCACAGCCTTCCTCTTGCTGAGTGGTAAGTCTCAGCTGTGACACAACTACGTGCCGAGTCCTGGGAGTCCCAGCAAACCCTGAAACCTGGGCTGGCCCCGGGACCTCTGTCCTAGAACTGATGGGAGCCTGGACACTGGCAGGCCGTGGTACTTACGACGATGTCCTCCTCGGTGACTCGGGGGTGCAGGTTGTTGACCGTCATCTTGGTGCCTTCCAAAGGGCTAAGCACAGGCTGCCACACAGACGACAGGGTCAGCAGAAGCCAGAGCAGGCGGCCTCTCACACAGCAGCACTCGGACTGCGCCCCGAGACCCCGGCACCCCTCACACGCCCACCACCCTGGGCCCTGGCCTCTGGCAGGAATGCTCCTCTGGCCTCCAGACCCTGCACTCACACTGGCTTCCCCCTCCCCCTCCCCCTGCCCCTCCCCAGGCGCTGCGGCGGGAGGAAGCGCTCTCTCCTGGGAACCCCTGTGCTAACAGAGCCGGCGGCTCCTCCCTGCTGGCCCCGCTAGCCCGCAAGCTCTTTTAGGGCAGGGCCCAGGTCTTGAGAATGCGAGGAGCCTGGGCTCACACGGCACACTGACCCAGCACAGGCTCTCGGGTGGGGTGGCCACCTTCAGCTCACCTCAGCAGGCGGCAGCTCTTTGGGGGGCTCCTCCTTGTTCACCAGCGTGCGGGACACGCTGGTCAAGGCTTTGGTTCGCACAGAGGAGGGGAGAGCGGGGGCGGTATATGCGTCATTCTGCACCACTTTGGTGAGAGGGAGGGCCTTCGACACCGAGAACTTGGAACTGCTCAGCCCAGCCTAGACAAACGGGCAGAAAGGAACGTCAGAAGCAGGAGATCCCAACTCCTGGGAAGCAGCCCAGGGCTACCAACCGGCTGAATGCGTGGCCCTCGCTCGGGGCCTCCCGGCTCCCCATGTCCATCAGAGTCTGTCCACTGCCTGTGACCTCCCACGGGCAGGCGCGCCGGAAGTGCTGAAGCCCTGGCCGCTCCTACACAGCCCCAACAGCGAAACGCGCCAGGAGCCACAGACTCACCCGCGCCACTTAGTTCTAAAAGCCCTGAAGTTCGGGACCGGTCAGAAAGACCACGAACCGGGGGCCCAGTTCACTCTGAAGAGAAGACGCCCGACTGCGGCAGGGCAGAGCTGGAAGGCACTGACGCAGGCAGACGCAACTGGAATCCTGGTCAGCTCACCCAGCTTCTCCCCATGCTGCAGTCCACGCCCCTCGCGTCCTCTGAGCCTCAAGAACCAGGACAGGGGTGGGTGCACACGGGACCCAGCACCAGACTGCTCAGGCTCAACTCCCATGTCCACCACTTAGAGCCCAGGATTTATCTATTTATTTGAAAGGCAGAGTTACACAGGAGTAGACAGGAAAAGAGGGAGGGAGGAAGGGAGGGAGGGAGGGAGAGGGAGAGAGAGAGAGGGAGGGAGAGAGAGGGAGGGAGAGGGAGGGAGAGAGAGGGAGGGAGAGAGGGAGGGAGAGAGAGAGAGGGAGGGAGGGAGAGAGAGAGAGGGAGGGAGGGAGGTCTTCCATCCACCTGTCCACTCCCCAAATGGCTGAAGCAGGGTCAATTCAAAGCCAGGAGCCTGGAGCTTATTCTGGGTCTCCCACACAGGCACAGGGGTCCAAGGACTTGGGCCATTTTCTGCTGCTTTCCCAGGAGCATTAGCAAGGAACTGCACCGGAAGTGGAACAGCTGGGACTTCAACCAGCGCCCATATGGGATGCTGGCGCTACAGGCCAGGGCTTTAACCTGCTGCACCACAGTGCCAGCCCCCTACCCACAACCCTTTAAGAGCCAAATCAGGCTGGCGCCGTGGCTCACTAGGCTAATCCTCCGCCTAGCGGCGCCGGCACACCGGGTTCTAGTCCTGGTCGGGGCGCCGGATTCTGTCCCGGTTGCCCCTCTTCCAGGCCAGCTCTCTGCTGTGGCCCGGGAGTGCAGTGGAGGATGGCCCAAGTCCTTGGGCCCTGCACCTGCGTGGGAGACCAGAAGGAGGCGCCTGGCTCCTGCCATCGGATCAGCGCGGTGCACCGGCTACAGTGCACCGGCCGCGGCAGCCATTGGAGGGTGAACCAACGGCAAAGGAAGACCTTTCTCTCTGTCTCTCTCTCTCTCACTGTCCACTCTGCCTGTCAAAAAAAAAAAAAAAAAAAAAAAAAAGAGCCAAATCAGTAACCAGGAGACTGGTCGCCACACACAGGGCGGTCTACTCCTGAAGGCAAACAGTGGAGACACCCATCTCGAGAAGCTGGCCGGGCAGCCTGGTGGTCTCCCGGAGCCCCCATGCTGCGCTTCTTCACTGCGGAATGGACGACCAGCACCCAGCCTGGCCAGCTGGCCCTGCATGCAGGTGCCCCTGCTCAAGCCACAGGTCAGGGGACACTGATTCTCGCTAACAAAAGCCAAGGGGATCCAAGGAAGGTCAGGGAGCAGGCAGCACACCCGCCACAGAGAAAGGAACGGAGGTTGCTTCTCGTGGGAAGACTCCCTGCTCCGGCTTGAGTGTGCCCTCCCAAACTCACGCTGCAATTCAACTGCTGCCGGGACAGGATTAAGTGGGACCTTGGGGCTGGCGCTGTGGTGTAGTAAGCTAAGCCTCTGTCTGCGGTGCCGGCATCCAATATGGGTGCCAGATTGAGTCCTGGCTGCTCCATTTCCGATCCAGCTCTCTGTTATGGCCTGGGAAAGTGGCAGAAGAGGCCCAAGTGCTTGGGCCCTTGCACCCACGTGGGAGACCAGGAAGTGGCCCTGCTCCGGCTGTTGTGGCTGTTCGGGGAGTAAGCCAGCAGACAGAAGACCTTTCTGTCTCTCTATAACTCTGCCTCTGAAGCAAATACCAACACACACACACACACACGACCTGTCGGAGGTGACTGCCTGCACGAATGGACTCGGGTGTCACCGTGGAGTGGGCCTGTTATCTGGGGGTGAGTTCATAACGAGTGTGAGTTTGACACTACTTCCCTGCTGCACGTGTGCCTGCCTGCCGCCCACCGCGGGGATTCGCCAAGAAGGTCCCCGCCACACACCACCCTCAACCTTGCACTTCCTTGTCTCCAGAAGCCCAGGCCCGGGCCGCTCCTTGTGTATCACTCACTGCCTCTGGTGTTCCGGTACGGCAGCAGGAAACAGACTAAGACGCTCATTTTCTCTGAAGCGTAACACAGCAACTGGGAGCTGCAGCCCCAGGGCCCTGAGCAAACCACCCACATCAGCCTTGGCACTTCCTGCCTCTGAGATCTACGGCCCCAGTGAAGAGATGTTTCTTCACCCAAGGTCCTTCTCTCGGCTGTTTCAAATTAATAAAAATAAAATGGAAAAGAGGGAGAAGGCCACTTGGCAGAGCAGCTAAGGCTGCACCCCATCCATGGCAGAGTGTCTGTGTTCCACTCCAGTTTCCCACTGATGTGCACCCTGGGAGGCTGCAGGTGACGGGGTCCCATAGCTGGGTCCCTGCCACCCACGTGGAGACCCAGGAGTGAATTTCGGGCTCCCAGCACTGGCCTGGTCTAGCCTGGGCTGTTGCAGGCATTTGGGGACTAATCCAGTGAATGGGAGATCTCAGTCTCTCAAATAATAAAAGTGAATACATTTTTAAAAAGAAAGGCCCTACTCCCCACAACCTCTCCTACCCACTGACCAGAGGCACACAAGGGGAAGAAAAGGTGAAAGCCGTACCGCGTGGTGCAGAAAGCCGCCCGAGGCTGCAAACTTCATCTGCTTGGCAGGAAGTGGAGCCAGAGCGTCCTCATCTTCGTCCAGGTCATACAAGTTCTACGAACAAAGACACAGACGCTAGTGCGGCGCGCAAGCCCTCCAGAGACCTCCGGAGCAAGCACAGCAGGGAGGTGACTGCTGGAGTGAGCAAGGGCTCAAGGGAGAAGCAGACACAGGGACAGAGGTGCCTGGAGAGCCAGGTTCTGAGGCTCGGGCGCAGGTCCTGACCCCCCAAGCCCAAGGGCCAGCGAACAGCACCAACGCCCAGGTCCATCAGAAGCACAGGGAGCAGCACCCACCAGATTCCTGACGTCTGCTTGCCGTCACACGTCCCTTCACAGTGAGGAAAACATTTCAAGAAAAGTGTAGTTAAGTAATTCTGTCACTGGGTGAGCACCACAAACCGAGCCCGCTCTACAGCAAGGCTGTAGGCAAAGCTATCGTCAGTGCGGGCTGTCTCTGACCGGAATGCTATTATGCACCACGTGCCTGTCTGTGCTCTGGCGTGCGAAGCTCATCTCAGGTAATCTGGTCTACAGAAGTAAATCCAAACTCTATAAAGAACTTAATCCACAGACATTCACAGCAGGACTTCTAATAGTGAAACAGCAGCAGTGTGTCTTAAATGAACTGAATGTCAACTCAATAACTCAGTTATTAAAAATGTTTAACAATAGATGTGGAAACGTCACAGAAACATGGCTGAGTTACAGAGTGAAAACAAAGACATAAAAGTGGCTAAGAATGTAACTACAACTTAAAACACGACGCGATACAGCAGCCTGAAGTGCCAATTGTGATGCCAGCATCCAGGACTCAAGCCAGCTCCATCGCTTCCAGTCTTGTTTCCTGCTGTTGCCCCCAGGAGAGTGATGGTGGCCCAAGCACTTTGGATCTTGCCACCATGTGGGAGACTTGGATGGGGCTCCTGGCTCCTGGCTCTGGCCTGGCCCCATCTTGGCTGCTGCAGCCATTTGGGGAGTGAACCAGCAGATGGAAGACTGCTTGACTGATTGATCTCTGTCCCCCCCCCCCCCCTTTATTTAAGATTTATTTATTTTGCCAGTGCCGTGGCTCACTAGGCTAATCCTCTGCCTTGTGGCGCCCGCACACCGGGTTCTAGTCCCGGTTGCCCCTCTTCTAGGCCAGCTCTCTGCTGTGGCCCCAGAAGGCAGTGGAGGATGGCCCAAAGTCCTTGGGCCCTGCACCAAGGAGACCAGGATAAGCACCTGGCTCCTGCATTCAGATCAGCGCAGTGCGCCGGCCGTGGCGGCCATTGGAGGGTGAACCAACGGCAAAGGAAGACCTTTCTCTCTGTCTCTCTCTCTCACTGTCCACTCTGCCTGTCAAAAAAAAATTATTTATTTTACTTGAAAGTCAGTTACAGAGAGGGAAGGAGAGACAGAGAGAGGTCTTCCATCTGCTGGTTCACTCCCCATTTGGTGGCAATGGCTGGAGCTCTGGCGATCCAAAGCCAGGAGCCAGGAGCTTCTTCTGGGTCTCCCATGCAGGTGCAGTGGCCCAAGCACTTAGGCCATCTTCTACTGCTTTCCCAGGCCATAGCAGAGATCTGGATTGGAAGTAGAGCAGTCAGGACTTGAACTGCAGGCGGCAGTGTAACCTGCTACGACACAGCACAGGCCCCTCTGTAACTCTTTCAAACTAAATAAATCTTTATATTAAAAAAAGTCTTCTTGGGGCCAGTTTGTGGCACAGCACGCTTAGCCTCACCTACAGTGCTGACGTCCCACATGAACGCCAGCTCTAGCTCCAGTTGCCCCACCTCCACTCCAGCTACCCACCATGGGCCCAGGAGAGTGGACAGCGGCGTAAGTCCTCGGGGCCCTCCCAGGAGAGTGGACAGCGGCTTAAGTCCTTGGGGCCCTCCCAGGAGAGTGGACAGCGGCTTAAGTCCTCGGGGCCCTCCCAGCCACCTGGAGACCCGGATGCAGTTCCAGGCTCCCGGCTTCCGCCTGGCCCAGCCCCACCCACTGCGGCCAGTTAGAGGAGTGAAGCACCAGACAGAAAATTTCTGTTAAGCCCTCTCTTTCTGTAACTCTACCTTTCAAATAAATAAAAATAAACTTTAATTTAAAGAGTTTCTTCTTAAAACTCACAGAGTACGAAGTCAAATGTGCTCTCCTCTGGCTTGGACAGAATGTCCCCCAAAGTCTTATGGCAATGGAACAGAGGGTGGAGACGTAATCCAATCGCGGTGCCTGCAGTGGGGCTCCGGGCAGGGCCTGGATTGGATCATTTGCAGAAGGACAGACAGGCAGGCTCCCTCTTGCTAGGTGACGCTGTGAGCTGCCCCAGTATTCTGGCAGCAGGAAAGCCCACCAGAGGCCAAACAGAAGGCTCTCGCCTGATCCTGGACTGTGACCCTCCACAGCCAGAAGCCAGAGAGCTCCTCCCTTCACATGTAACTTGCCTCAGGTACCAGTTCCAGTGACAAAGAGCTGTCTACACATGCCTTCTCCAACACTTGCAACTGGAAACCGCAGGCCAGGCCTCATCAAAACACACACACACACACATATACATACACACTCTAAGTACATATCCACACGTGCAGGCACATGCACGCACTCCGCACTCTCTCATCCAAGTAGGTATCCACGCGCGCAGGCACGTGCACACACACACACACACAGACACTCACTCACTCTACCTGTTTGGCCTGGTGGTTATTGACAACGTTGATTCTCATTCCAGCAGGATGAGCGTGAAGTGGCACCATGGCCTTCTGCTGTGGAACCTAGAAACACCCAGTGGTCACAATTCATCCCTTGGGGTCCACATGTGCTCTCTGAGGAGGGATCCTGGACGTCCATGCGGCAGGCCTCAGGTGACCCGCACTGGAGTGCCCCAGCCCTCAGAGCAGGACACCGTCCCAGACCACACGGCGATGCACGTCGGGCTTAGGGAACCTGGCTCAGTCAATGCCTGCTGCCACTGCTGCTGTCCCCACGATCAAAGCAACCGTGCACATTAAACTACAGTTTCTCTTCTGTGCGGGGTGATGGCTGGAGGGCAGCAGATGCAGCTGGATCCCTACGCTGGTCCTCCCACGGACCAGCTGGGCAGCGCTGGATACGAATTTCCCGTCTCCGAGACTCAGATTCTTTATAAAACCGCGGTGAGGACTAAGATGGATGTTAAGTGCCTGCCACGTGGCACATTCACCAGAGGTGCCCCCGCTCGCTTAGGAAAACCACTGCGTTTCCCCGGCGCGCCCCTTTCTCTACACAGACTGAGAGGACGCCTCGCGCTCCTCAGTGACCCCGCGAGAACGCACAGAGCGCCTTCGAGAGCAGCAACAGCTGCAGCACCTGGAGAAGGGCACGTCGCCCGAGCACGCCTGCCCCAATCCACCTCCGCTGCTGGCCTCGGGAACTGTGCATGACCACAGCCTACCTGGATGGTTTTGGTGAGCTTCAGGGCAGGGGTCACCGTCCCGACGGGCGGGCTCATGAAGGCTGCAGGGGAACCCCTCTTCAGGCTGATCTTCTCCCGGGCGTCGGCCACCGGCCGGGGCTTCTGGGCCACGGAGCTCTGCTGCTTGCGGGAGTTGAGCATCTCTCTGGCGTCCTGCACTTTCCCTCTGATGCGAAACCTGGCATCTTTCTGCAGGAGCTTCTCCCGGGCGTCCTTGACTCCCAGCTTGAGCCGAGCGTCCGCGAGCCCGATCTTCTGCCGGGCATCAAACCTCTGCTGGAAGCTGGCTGTGCGCGTCGCCGGGCTGACGAGGCTCTGCTGGACCCCGACTCGCGACCGCACACCTCCAGCTCCCGGCCTGGCGCTGAGCCTGCAAACAGATTGCCATTCTGAGTGGGTCTGGACAGCGACAGTAGCCCGTGCGAGGAGGACGGTGGCGACACTGGGAAAAGAAGGTCCTGGAGAAACCAGAAAGCAACCCCGCGCCTGTGTCCCACGGAACGATTAAGCCTACATAAAGGCCTCTTTCCTGGTCTCGTGGCTGTTACCTTTGCATCCGGCTTCCTGCCAATGCACCCCGGAGTCAGCACAGAATGGCTCAAGGGCTTGAAGACGGGGATGGAGTTACAGGGTCCTGCCCTCAGCCTGGCTACCAGCAGCAGTGATTCTCCCTGGACTGGGCCACCTTAATCTTTGTGGTCCTCGGCCAGCAAAACCATTGGTGGTAGTGGGGTTATGCTTTGTGGTGACTCCAGAAACCTGACGTTACATTTAGGGACCCTGGATGGGAACAGAGGGAACACGACCTCCTGCCCCAGGACCAACTGGCAGGTAAAGTGTCCCCGGTGGCTTTTTAAGAATGCTAGAAATTCTCTTCTATTTGCCAATGAAGCCCATCAGAGAAAAGAAACAGGCTACTGGTTGGTTCAGACCAGGAGCTGCCAGGGAGCGCCCAGATGCAACTGCTCACTCAGCACGACTCACACCACAGATCTGGGGCCGGGCAGTCAAGTGACCACCAGGAACACAGTAGGCTATAGGACTCCAGGCACCCCAAATTCAGGGGTACACAGATAGCCAAGTCACCCCACACCCCTCCTCCAGGAGAGAGAGGCATAGCCCCTGCAATCCGTGAGCAAGTGGACTCCCAGAGGGCCACGGGAAGGCTTCCAGTGGCCCCGAGTGTCCACCAGCGCTCCAGGAGGACCGAGTGCAGGTAAGCCCAGCACAGCCCAGAGAGGGCAGTTTGTCTGTTCACGCAGCTGGAGGCAGCTGAGGCAGCACCAGCTTCCCCAGAGCTGCCCTCGGACACGTCCCTTTACTGCTCCCCTCGGCCGGCCGGCCGGCCTCCCGCTGCCTGGTTCCTGGTCGCGGGCCCCTCCCCAGATGGAGCAGCCGAAGCACTCGCCGGGCTGCACCACACCCATCTGCTGTAGGCCGACGTCTCCCACAGGACACGAGATTCTTGGGGGTGCGCCCTGCCCCCCTCGCCTGTGTCACACCTCCATCACAGGATGGTAAGGGTTCCACAAGCTTCTGCAGCCCTGAGCTCCGTCAGGCTCCCATCTCGGAGGCCAGCTGCCAGCCATCTCCACCTCCCCCAGAAACAGGCCCAGCACTGAGCCCGGGGGAGGGGAAGGACCGAGAAACACAGGGCCACCCAGCAGTCAGTCCTCCCTGACTGATCCGTGCCCTGCCAGGGGCCTGGCCTCCACGCACCCCTCTGCCGAGAGGGAGCCGGCCTGGCTGTGGCACTCGAAGGATTCACAAGGTCTCACCGGCTCCCAGCCTCCGCCTCCTGCAGGAGCTTCCAGGAAGGCCCCCAGGAGGGGAGCGGTTCTCTGACGGACAGAGCCTCACAAGTGGAGCCCAGCTATATCTACAACAAAACTGGAAGACGCCCACCACACACAAGAGTCAGACGCATCCCAATCCAAGCCCAGTCTCTTCCCAAAGATTTCCTATCTTCTTTTATCTTCTTCAACTGTTACCTTCTCCCATCAATCGCCAGGGCACCTCTCACTACCAGATGGCTCCTGATAATTATAACCAAAGGCACAGGGACCATGTTATCATCATAGCACCATAAACTGGGAAAATCAAGGCCCCGTAGCATCAATTTTACTTTGAAGAAGTTATCCAACTTTTTTTATTTATTTATTTTTATTTTTTGACAGTCAGAGTGGACAGTGAGAGAGAGACAGAGAGAAAGGTCTTCCTTTGCTGTTGGTTCACCCTCCAATGGCCGCGGCACTGCGGTCGGCACACCACACTGATCTGAAGCCAGGAGCCAGGTGCTTATCCTGGTCTCCCATGGGGTGCAGGGCCCAAGCACTTGGGCCATCCTCCACTGCACTCCCTGGCCACAGCAGAGAGCTGGCCTGGAAGAGGGGCAACCGGGACAGAATCCGGCGCCCCGACCGGAACTAGAACCCGGTGTGCTGGCGCCACAAGGCGGAGGATTAGCCTAGTGAGCCACGGCGCCGGCCTATCCAACTTTTTTAAAAAAGATTTATTTAGGGGCCAGCGCTGTGGCATAATGAGTAAAGCCGGCACCTGAAGCATCAGCATCCCATATGGATGCCGGTGAGAGTCCCAGCTGCTCCACTTCCAATCCAGCTCCCTGCTGGTGTGCCTGGCAAGACAATGGAAGAAGGCGCAAGTGCTTGGCCCCTGCACCCAGGTAGAAGACCCAGAAGAAGCTCCTGGCACCTGACCTCGGATTGGACCAGCTCTGGCCATTGCAGCCATTTGGGAAGTGAACCAGTGGACAGAACATCTCTAGATCTCTCTTTGTAACTCTCTTTCAGATGGATAAATAAGAGAGTGAGAGGCAGAGAGAGATATCTTCCATCCACTAGTTCACTCTCCAAATGGCCACAATAGCCAGGGCTGGGCCAGGCTGAGCTAGGAGCCAGGAACTTCATCCTGGTCTCCCACATCACTGGCAGGGGCCCAAGCACTTGAGCCATCGGCTGCTGCTTTCCGGGAGCATTAGCAGGGAGCTGGATCAAAAGTGGAGCACCCTGGGGCTGGCGCTGTGGCGTAGTGGGTAAAGCTGCCTCCTGCAGTGCCAGCATCCCATATGGGCACTGGTCCGAATCCTGGCTGCTCTAATTCTGATCCAGCTCTCTGCTATGGCCTGGGAAAGCAGTATGAGATGGCCCCAGTCCTTGGGCCCCTGCACCTGCGTGGGAGACCCAGGAGAAGCTCTTGGCTTCTGGCTTCAGATAGGTGCAGCTCCAGCCGTTGCGGCCAATTGGGGAGTGAACCAGCAGATGGAAGACCTCTTTCTCTGCCTCTCCTTCTATCTCTGTGTAACTCTGCCAGATACATAAATAAATCTTTAAAAAAAAAATGTGGAGCACCCGAGACACAAACTGGCACCCATATGGGATGCCAGCACTGCAGGCATGCCACAACACCGGCCTGAAGTTACCCAATATCACCAATCACGCAAGCAACAAAACATTACTGGCAAGAAAGAAAAGCAGAAAAAAGGGAAAATTAATGGAAAACAATTATTTCAAACAAGGAAATCAACACTGAGATTCTCGAAAACAAACGCCATAATCCTGAGCAGGGAATGAGTGGAGAAGAGGACAGATGAAGCTCCGTGGTGCTCTCTTTCTGCAGGGAAACGCCCTTCATGCGGGAGTGGGCGCTCAGCGCGGTGGTACGATGCCTGCAGCCCGTATCAAGTCCTGGGTGCACTTCCTGGCCCTGATCTCACGCTGGCTTCCAGCTAATGCCGACTCTGGGAAGCAGAGTGCATGGGGAGGGGACCAGGCGGCGGCAGCCTCACTCACTCAGTACTCCTCAACAGCTTTCCCTCTGCGACAGCCAGCACGTGCTGTGTTCTGAGACTCCCCAGGAACAACACCCCAGGGCCCCGTAACAGACAGAGGCCGTGCAGGTGATGAAAGGCTCTGTGGTGAGTGTGGATCCAGGGAAACCTCACCACAGCACGGCAGACTTTGACACACGCCCCTAAATCTCACAACCCTGAGAACAAGGTCACTTTCCACATTTTATAAATGAGGAGAGACTTAAGGAGATTAACTATCTCAAGATCACAGAGTTAATAATGGTGAAAACGGGGTTTAAAGTTCACTGTATCTGGTGAAGGTACCAACAAATTAAGCATGAGTCAAAAGACCAGGGGCAGGTGGCACGGCACAGCAGGTTGAGCTAACGCTTGCCACACAGGAGTCCCATATGGGAGTGCTATTCCACCAAGATCGCTTCCTGCTCACGCAGTCAAAACGGCCCAAGTGCCCGGGACCCTGCCACTCCTGTGGGAGATCAGGACGGAGTTCCTGTGTCCTGGCTCAGCCTGGCCCAGACCCAGCTGCTGCGGCCCTCTGGGCTGTGAACCACAGGATGGAGATCCTCCAGCTCTTCCTCCACTCCTCTGTTGATCTGCCTCTCGAATCATCTTTACGAGGCAGTAAAGACCAGAGTGGGTGTTGCGCTGCAACGGGCTGAGCGCCTGCCTGAGTGCCTGGATCCCACGAAGGTCTGGGATCAAGTCCCCCTCAGCCCCCATCCAGTGCCCTGCGAAGTGCTTGGGAGGCAGTGGATGACGCCACCCAAGGGAGACCCAGATGGCATTGCTGGCTCCTGGCTTTGGCCCTGCACAGTCCTGGCCATGCAGGCATCTGGGGAGTGAAGCAGCAGACAGACGGTCCATCTCCCCCGCCCCTTCCTCCCTCTGCTGCTCTGCTTCAAAGAAAGTAGTGACTTGAAGGGGAAAGGGAAGACTGAGAAGCAAAAAAGGAACACTTGAACATGACAAACGTCAGTGCTCTCTCACGATGAAGACCAGGACGAGCAGTGAGTCCAGAGCTACGACACCGCACACCAGAGCGCCCGGTGTCAGCCCAGCCCCCGACTTAGCTTCCTGCGAACGCAGACGCTGGGAGGCAGCAGTGACCCTCCAAGGGAGAGGATCTCGCCACCCACGTGAGAGATCCGCTTTGTTTCCTGCAGGCACAGAAGTCAACAGCAAACTGGAGCATTCACTGTCTAATGACTGGAACTCGGAAGAATTAAGGAAGGGAAAACAAAAACAAAAGAAATCATCTCTATTACGAAGGTCTGGTATTTTGGTTCCAGTACATGACTAAACCCTTCAAAAAACAAAAACAAAAAAAAGCCCACTGTGACTGTGGGTGAGCCCTGTCCTCACAAGACTGCAGCCACCCAGGATGCACTCACGACAGAGGGCAAGCACACGTGAGGACAGCAGGCGCGTCACACGGGGCCACCGTCACGGCCCTGAGTGGTGGGAACGTCACGCACTGCTCAACGAGAGATCCGCTGAGACTTGCGAGCTATGCTGTCAGCGGACTGCAGCCTTGCGCAAGTATCACAGCCTGTATGGCCGCAGAAAGAAGCCGGGCCTCGTCAGGCCGTGTGGCACTAAGGGACCACTGTGCACTGTGGCACACGCAGTCGACTGTTGACGGGAATGTCCTCCGTCAGCAAACAGCAGCATTGAAAGCAGGCGGGGAGAGGGACCAGCCTCGCGGCAGCAGGAGCCAGCAGGAGCCAGCAGGAGTGGCTCGGGTGGGAGCGGCCCTTTAATGGGATGCATCCCATCTCCCTGCCCACACCAGCTCTCTCAATTCCTTTCCAGAACAGCTTAGGGGCCTTCAGTGTTGAGACTTTTATTTATTTATTTTTATTTTTCTGACAGGCAGAGTTGGACAGAGAAAGAGAGACAGAGACAGAGAGAAAGGTCTTCCTTTCTGTTGGTTCATCCACCAAATGGCTGCTACAGCCGGCGCGCTGCGCTGATCTGAAGTCAGGAGCCAGGTGCTTTCCCCTGGTCTCCCATGCAGGTGCAGGGCCCAAGCACCCGGGCCATCCTCCACTGCCTTCCTGGGCCACAGCAGAGAGCTGGCCTGGAAGAGGGGCAACCGGGACAGAATCCGGCGCCCCGACCGGGACTAGAACCCGGTGTGCCGGCGCCGCAGGCGGAGGATGAGCCTAGTGGGCCCGGCGAGGCTTTTTTATAATCAGGGCTCCCTCCCGCTTTTCCTCCCAGCAGGCAGCAGTGCAGCTTACAGGCACTTTTCCAAACACACACTCCTGCTGGGGTGGGTCTCTAAACAGAGTCAGCCCCAAGAACTGCTGAGGGCGCCCCAGTTCAACCCGGGGGAGCCTGTGACCCAACCCCAACTTCTGCCTGCAGCCTCGCCGCCCACCAACGTTCCAGATCACATCCTGTGCCTTTGTCTTCCGTATGTGTTTGGGAGGGGGCTGGATTGTGAGTAAGTCTCTGTTTTTAAAAATGTATTTAGGGGCTGGCGTTGGGGCGCAGTGAATGAAGCCACTGCCTGTGGCTCCGGCATCCCGTACAAGCACCAGTTTGAGTCCCGGCTGCTCCACTTCCCAGCCATTAGCTCCCTGCTAATGTGCCTGGGACAGCAGTGGAAGATGCCCAAGCGCTTGAACTCTGCATCTACATGGGAGACTCAGATGAGGCTCCTGGCTCCCGGCTTTGGGCTGGCCCAGCCCTGGCCGCTGTGGCCATTTAAGGAGTCAGTCAATGAATGGAAACTCATTCTCTAACTCTGCTTTTCAAACAAATAAAGCTTTTTTAAAAAGTATCTATGGGAGTGCCGGTTCAAGTACCAGCTGCTCCACTTCTGATCCAGCTCTCTGCTAAGGCCTAGGAAAGCAGCAGAAGATGGCCCAAGTCCTTGGGCCCCTGCACCCACGTGGGAGACCCAGAAGAAGCTCCTGACTCCGGATCAGCGCAGTTCCAAACACTGCAGCCCATCGGGGAATGAACTAATGGATGGAAGACCTGTCTCTCTCTGCCTTGCCTTCTCTCTGTGTATAACTCTTTCAAATAAATAAATAAACCTTAAAAAAAAAAAAGTATCTATGGGACCAGCACTGTACTGTAGCAGGTAAGGCTACTGCCTGGGCGCCGGCTCCAGTCACAGCTGCCCCACTTCCAATCCGGTTCTCTGCTGTGGCCTGGGAAAGCAGAAGACGGACCAAGTCTTTGGGCCCCTGCACTCACATGGGAGACCTGGAGGAAGCTCCTGGCTCCTGGCTTTGGATCAGCACAGCTCTGGCCATTGTGGCCATCTGGGGAGTGAACCAGCGGATGGAAGACCTCACTCTGTCTCTCAAAAAAAAATTTTTTTAAGTATCTGAAAAGTAGAGAGACACAAACAAAAATGAATCTTCAACTCACTGGTTCACTCCCCAAATGCCCATCACAGCTGGGGCTGAGCCAGGCCAAAGGCAGAGCTCCGTGCAGGTCTCCAGGGGGTGACGGGAACACAACCACGCGTGCAGCGCACTAGTGGGAAGCTGGATCAGGGGAGGCACAGGAAGCAGGCATCCCCGAGCAGCAGGAATGCTGTGGGACAAGCCCGCCCCCGCTCAGCCCACGATGTCACAGTGCAACTCTGCTTCCAGCTGCTCTCAGGCAGACCCCGAGTCCCCGCACCCTGGCTGGAACCTGGCTGTCCGCGTGACCAGGGGTCAGGGAGGGCGTGTAAGATCTAAGATCTGGCTCGGTGGACGGCAAGGTCGCCCGGCTCAGGGCAGATGCCTGACCAAAGGACTCAGACCCAGGAAGGGGGCCTGGGCCACTCTGAAGCAGACCGTAACCCACGCGGTTCTGCGGGTCAGCGTGCGCCTGTTACGGTCACTTTACGGGGAGACCACGTGCCTCAGACTGCGACGGGGGTCTCTGAACTAGGTGCTCTGGACACGACCCCTGACCCGAGTTTCACTTCAAAACCCAATTCTTCTCCAAGTTACATAACAGCTCATTTCCTCCTTTCGGTATGTAGGCCTGCATCTCCGCAGAGGAAAACAAGCACTGCGCACTGGAGCAGAGCCCCAGCCTGGCCCACCCCCGTGGCTGCGGGCACTCCCGGACGGGCGCCTGGCCCGGAGCCGCTCACAGCAGCACCCTCCTCCCTGCGTGGCAGCAGCCAGCCGGCCACACTGGGGGTCACCTCATCACACCACGGAGGGTTCGCCTGGCTGAGGTGATCGCAACACTTGAACTCTCAAGGCAGAAACCAACAGGGGCGGCCGGTGCTCAGAGCTGGGCTGCCTCGGGTCTCCCGCCAGGCGGGGGCAGACAAACCACCCGCCCGTTCGCTTGCCACTCGTCACCGAATCCTGACAACGGAGGGCCAGGCCTTTCCCGCCTGGTGAGGTGTGAGGAACAGAAACACTTGGCGCACTGCCGCGTGCAGCCTCGGGCCCCAGGCAGAGGGACCAGACAGGGCGAGAGGCTACTCGCTGCACCGCCCGCCATTCCAGCGCTCGCCCAGATACCACGTTAAAACCAAAGTTCCGGGGCCGGTGCTGTGCTCAGCGGGTTAACGCCCCAGCATCCCATCTGGGCGCCGGTTCAAGTCCTGGCTGCTCCCCTTCGATCCAGCTCCCGGCTTAATGGGCCTGGGAAAGCAGAGACGGCCCAGTGCCTGAGCCCCTGCACCCATGATGAGACCCCGAGGAAGCTCCTGGCTTCAGATCAGCCCCGCTCTGCGGCTGCGGCCATCTGGGAGTGAACCAGCGGATGGAAGACCTCTCTGCCTACCTCTCTCTGTAACTCTTTCAAATAAATAAATCTAAAAAAAGTGACATTCTCATTAAAAAAAAAAAAAAGTTCCCAGTGAGTTCCTCAATGTAAGACATGCTAGACACAAGGATTTCCTCCTACGCTGAAGTCTCATCAGCCTCCCCCTTCTGGCTGGAAATACTCTATTTATTTGAGATGCAGTCATCTGAAAGGCAGAGTGACAGGCAGATACAGACAGACTGACTGACGGGGCGTGAAGAGAGATCCCCCATCTGTGGTTCACTCCCGACGGCCGCAGGGCCAGAGCCTCCTCCAGGTCTCCCATGGGGTGCAGGGCCCAAGCACCTGGGCCATCCTCACTGCTTCCCAGGCCACGGCAGGGAGCGGGATCGGAAGAGGCGCAGCTGGGACTTAGCCGCTGCCCCCCTTACCCGGATACAAGGCCTGGAGCTAGCTTCTGGCTGTGCCGACTGTGCAGTCAAACAGCAGTGGTGCCCGGAGGGCTTGTCTTCGCTGGGTGTCCTCCCTCCACACCTGCCCCAACCCAGTGCTCGCGGAAGCTGACCGCTGCAGGCCCCTCAGCCGCCAGGGGGTCTCTGGTCGTCCCACCCCACAGGGCTCAAACGGCGGCCTGCCACGCCCCCCACCCCACCCCGCACCAGAGCAGGGTCGCAGGGCGGCTCCCCTCCTGGGCCAGCTCCTTGCTGGTGACCTGGGAAAGCAGCATGCTGGCCGGCGCTGCGGCGCAGTGGGTTAGCGCCCGTCCTGAAGCGCGGCAGCCCACGTGGGCACCGGTTCGAGTCCCGGCTGCTCCTCTTCCCATCCAGCTCTGCTGGGGCCTGGGTAAAACAGCGGAAGACGACCCAAGCGCTTGGGCCCCCGGAGGAGGCTCCTGGCTCCGGCCCGGCGCAGCTGCGGCCGCTGCGGCCATCTGGGGAGAGAACCAGCGGATGGAAGACCTCGCTCTCTCCCTCTCTCTGTAACTCTGTCTTTCAGATAGAGGAAATAAATCTTTAAAAATAAAACATTAGGAAAAGCTAAGTCCGCCGAGCACCAGCTATCTGTGCGGCTCCTCTCCAATCAGCTCGCCCAGAACGCCGAGGCCTAAGCAGGCCAAGGGCCGGGGGCGGCTGGTCAGCGCCGGCCGACACGCGAGCCCGCGCCCCGCCGGTGGGGCCCCAGGAGCCGCGGCACGCGACAGGCGACCCAGCGAACAGACAGCAGCGACGGCAGACACACCCCTCCGCTTCCGATGCCCCAGCCTGCCCGGGGCGCCCGGCGCTGGGCACAGACCCGACCCGGGCCCGGCGGGGCTCGCTGCGGAGAGGCCACGGCCGGGAACCGCGAGCCCGGTCCAGCTGCGCCGCCGCCCGCCCGGCCTCGCCCTCCTCCCCCACGATGGGGGCCGCAGCGTGGCCGGGGGGCGCCCGGCGAAGTTCCCACGCTCGCGGCGCGCTTCCCCGCGCAACTTCACTCGGCTCGACGCTGGGCGCAGCCTCGGCTGCCCGGAGCCCCCGACCCGCGCCGGCGCCCCCGGGCCCCCGACCCCGCCGCGGCCCGCCCGAGCGCGGCGCCCCCAGCAGTGGGCGGGCGGGCCCGGACCGCGGCGGCGACGCCGGCCTGGCCAATGAGGAGCGCGGCAGCCGCAGGGGGCGGGCACGGGCCCTCGGCGTCGCGCCCGGCCGCTCCCTCCGTCGCCCCAAGTGCCGCCAGGCCGCGGCCCCGAGCCCCGAAGGGAGGAAAGGCCGCTCACCGCCCCTTGGTCGCCGTTCCGCGCTTCCGGATGAGCTCGTCCAGCGAAATGTCCGCCATCTTGCGCCGTCAAGAAAGCCGACAGCAGCCCGGACTCGCTCAGCCCCGGAGCCCGCCCCTCCGGCCGCGACGGACTCCAGCGCCGCTTCCGGCGTCCGGCCGACCAAGTCTCGCGACAGCTCAAGCCAGGCAGGGGCCGGAAGGGGCGTGGCGCCCCCGTGAGCCTTCGCGACGCCCGCTGCTCATCTGCATACGGGGGCGTCGGGGCACTAATGATCTATTTTTTCGCCCTGGCGAGCAAATATCAAGGAAGCCGGCATGGAGAATTAACTAATAAGTAGGACTAACTCCGGGGGAACGGAGCTGGCCGTTTAGCGATCAATGTAGGAACTCACCGTAGCGTTAATGAGAATAGACTTTATTACCTAGGAAGTAATGACTGCGTATCTTTATGCCTTAAACTTATGAGTAAGGAAAATAACGATTCGGGGTGACGCCCGAATCCTCACTGCTAATGTGAGACGAATTTTTGAGCGGGTAAAGGTCGCCCCTAAGGTGACCCGCCTACTTTGCGGGATGCCTGGGTGCCGCGATCTGCCCGTCCCCCTTAGCGCCCCAAAAGCAGACGAGGTGGGGGGTTGGAGTGGGGTTTCACGGCGTGGGTTTTCCGCGGCGGCGGCGGCCGGGGTCACGCCCACTGCGTCCCGTCTCCCGCCCGCGGACGTGCGCTGCGCGCGTGCTCGGTGCAGGGTCCGCGGCCGCTCGCCCTGCTGCCGGGAGCCGGGACGAGGTCCGCTTCGGGGGTTTCTAGGTTGTTGACTTGCAGAGGGGCCGGCGATGCGCCCGGGAAAGCGGCAGCAGCCGCCCAGCGCGTGGGCCCCGCGCACGCAGGCGACTCCGAGGAGGCTCCCAGTCCAGCCTGACCCAGCCCCGGCCAGCGATGGAAGGCCTCTCCCCCGCCGTCTCTGCCCTTCAAGTGCGTAAAGGGACAGGAATCCTCGGGCGTGCGCTTTTGCACACCTCCCAGTTATCACGCGGAAAAGGCTCTGAGTGCCGGAGGGAGAGCAGCCCCGGGATGGCGGGCACTCGGGCGGGGACTCAGGGCGCTCCAGCAGCGTCCCAGACATTCCTGGGCGGAGCCCGGGTGGACACAGGACGTTTCTCCCGGGTGTGAGCAGTGGGAACTTCCAGCAGGGCCTCTGCGTCTGCACGTAGCCGCAGTGGCCCAGGAGCTGCGGCCTGGAGGCTCCTGACCCCAGTGGCGCCTGGGGGGCCTGGCCTCGCCTAGACCCATCCCCGCCCCCGCCGCCACGGCCGAGGCCTGCGATCCCAGGCTGAGTGCTGGGCACTGAGGAGCCCTGCGCTGCCCTGGAACGTGGCGACCCCCCCCCTCCCCCGTTGCAGGCACCAGGCCCGCCTTCCTAGGAACTCCCGTGCCCCTGGGGGCCCTGGGCCTCCCCCATAGCCATCTGCACTGGCTTCTTGGAGCTGCTCCTAGCGTATTCCACAAGCCTGTTCCAACCCCAAGGCCTGGGCACTCCCGTTTGCCACCCACCCCAGCAAGGCCAGAGCCTGCCCGCCATGTCCCCACCCTGGGATTTCCTGCTGCCCAGTTCCAGGAGCAGACCTGATGCTCACCCCTCACCCGATTCACCACCTTACAGACGAGGACCCGCTGGAGTCCCGGGGCACGGGTGTGTGTGGGGGGGTGGGGGTGGGGCGATGGCTGCACCTGCTGTGCCCGCAGCCCCCACAGCCCCGCCTCCAGCACGCGGGGCGCTCCCTCCCCGGGGAGCAGCCCAGGGCCTTGGTGTGTCCTGTGTGGAGGAGGGAAGAACCCATCCTTGGGGGCCACAGTCTGTGTGGGAGTGGGGCAGGGGTCGCAGCGGAACACCGGGGCTTTCCGACTCCAGCGCGGATCCTGGGGTGGGGGTGAGGACGGCCACAGCCACTCAAAGCGCGGTCAGAAACAGCCAGGGCCGGGGTCTCCAACAAGCCCGGCCCGCCCCACCCCGGCCCAGCACCCAGAGAGTCTCACGTTTCGTTTCTGCTTGTTTATAAATGACTGGAAAAGGCGACGCGAGAGGCTAACAGCTGTTGTCTAAAGGCGAGGCCGAGGCGTGGGTCCCTGGGCCCAGAGGCACTGCTCGGACTGGCCCAGGCTGGGCGGGCGCCGGAGGCCAGCGACACAGGGGCTGCGGTGCTGCCGCCAAGGTGGCGGGGCCCCCAACCCACGCGGGGCCGCCGCGCGCTCCCCTCCCCCGCCCAGCACCCGCCTGTCACCCCAGCCTCCTCCCTAGTGTAGGGGCAGGTGCTGCGGCGGGCAGGGGCGGCGGGCCAGGGTCCAGGGCAGCCCGGGCCCGCGTGTGCTGCTTCTGCAGGTGTGCGCGGGCCGGCGGGGCTCGGTGCTGCGTGGCGAGGGGTCACGTGCGGGTGCGTCCTCGCTGAGAACCAGTGGGGGCCGGGAGGACTCCTTCCTGGAGTGGCCGGCGGCGGCCCAGCCCACACGCGGCGCCCCTCCCGGGGGCTGCCTCGGCTGCTGACCACCGGGACACGGGCAGACCAGGCTGAACCCGAGGCCCAGCGTGAGGCGCGGCCGAGGGGGACGGCAGGGCGGGCGGCGCGTGGTGGGCGCGCGCGGCCTCAGAAGGCGAAGCAGCGCTCCTTGGCGTGGCCCACGCGCTCCAGGTTGGGCAGGCAGGCGAACTGGATCATGGGCGGGGGCCCGCACATCAGCACCAGCGGCTCGTCCTCGGGGGGCGGCAGGTGGTCCCGGATCATCTCCTGGTTCACGAAGCCCTGGCTGTAGTCCCAGGCTGCGGGGAGAGATGGGGTGAGGCACTGCCCACGACCCTGCACGGAGGCCACGCACACGCCCTTCCCCTGCCCAGCCCGCCTCTGTGTGGCCTCTCACGTGGCCCTCGGGCAGTGGTTCCTGAGCCCATTTAACAGATGTGCACACCGAGGCCAAGACTCCACCATCTGGGCCCAGCCCCGGCTGGCCGGGGCGACGTCATGTCCCGCTGCGGGCCCACTGACTCCGCCCACACCCAGTGCGGGGGGGGCACTGACTCCGCCCACACCCAGTGCGGGGGGGGGCACTGACTCCGCCCACACCCAGTGGTGGGGGTTGGGGGGCACTGACTCCGCCCACACCCAGGGCGCGCAGCGTCCGCTGCAGGGTATACGCGAGATGAACAGTGAACTGGAGACGCGTGCCCCAGCACACGGTCCGCGAGCCCGGAAAGGCAGGTCCAGGACCCCCGCCATGGCCCAGCCCCCCGCCGGACCCGCCTGCCTCCCTCCCGCACACACAGTGCCGCTGTCTCCAGGCTGGCCACCTTCTACCTCCTCAGGCTACAGTGCCCCAAGGCTGGAAGGGCTGCGGGTTCACCAGGGACCCTCAGGGACCGGCCGGCTAGGAGACCCCCAGCCAGCGAGCGGTGGGTCAGCAGGACTGGAACGCAGGAGAACGGGGGCCCGGCGGCAGCAGAGCGAGGGAGGGCCGGCGGAGACCCACCCGGCCCCCCTGCACCTCGGTTCCGCGTGTGCACCTGCAGCCCGAGCCCCGCCCACCCTAGGGCAGGGAGGCCCCCGCTGTCAAGGGCGCCTCGCGACCACCGGCTGACCCGCGGGACCTAGGCTTAGGTTTGCCAGCCCTCCCGGAGGTTCCCCGTGCTCGGGGTCTGACACGTGCTGGTGCCTCCCCAGGGACCCCTGCATCTTGGAACTAGCAGTCAGCGCACGCCATCTACCTCATGCTCTGGTCAGGGAGCCCCGGCCGCCTCCTGACCCCACGAGGACCCCAGCCCTGCCAGCGGGAGATGACGGCAGCGCAGACCCTGCGGCACGGCCTCAGCCGGGAGCCGCGCTGGTCAGAGGTAGCAGGGGTTCGGGGGGGGGGGGGGCAGGGAGCAGGGCTACAGAGGGGCGGGGCTGGGGCTCCCTCCAGTCCTGAACGCCAGGCTCTCCTGACCTCTCTCTTCTCTGTTACCTGAAAGAGCCCTCGGCACCGACAGACGCTGCCACGGAGCCCCAGGTGCGGAGGGCTGGCCCAGGCCACGGCACCTTGCCTGACGGATGACACACACACCCCACCACGCCGACCCTACGAGGCCCCAGCTGGCCTCGGGATGATGGAGAGAACTAGGCTGGGCCGGGGGTCCTCTCCATCTCACAGAAACGGTGAGCTAAGTGGCTGACCGCGTTTCCCTTTTCACCCTGGCTGCTAGGAAGCTCAGAGTGGTAGGCAGGGCCTATCCACGGCAAGTGTGCTTCACGGTCCACGTTTTGTAGACACCATTCTTCACTCACACAGGGGGTCTGTAAGCCCCCCAAATCCCTGTGGGAACAAGGGGAGGGATATGGACAGACAGCTACAGCTGGGCAACGGAGCGGAAAGTTCTGTTAAAAACTGCACCGGAGGGCTGGTGCGGTGGTGCAGCAGGCAGCCGCCGCCTGCAGGGCCAGCATCCTGTACAGCGCTGGTTCGAGTCCCGGCTGCTCCACTTCCCATCCAGCTCCCTGCTAAGGCCTGGGAAGCAGCAGGGGGTGGCCTGGGACCCTGAACCCACATGGGAGCCTCTCCTCTGTGACTCTTCCAAGTAATAAAAGCAAGCCCGCGTGGGAGGAGCCGCGCCCGGCCTGCGTGGGAGGAGCCGCGCCGGCCCCGCGTGGGAGGAGCCGCGCCCGGACTTTCAGATCCGGCCCTCTGTCTCAGACGCAGGCTGCGGGGGCTCCCGGCGGCCCCCGTTCCCACACGGACCCCCAAGGGCCGGCTGGCTGGCCTGCTACCGTTTCCTCTTCAGCCTCTACTCCGGCCTCACCTGACGCGGCAGCAGCGCCTCAGCTAGTCCCGAACCGGGTCACGGAGCGGGAAGAAACAGGAAGACGCTAGCAGCCCGCTCGCCCCGCTCTTCTCTCTTGCCGGGGTGGGCTGCGTTACCAAAGGCCACCAGCAGGGGTCACCATCCCCGCCTTGCCGGACAACAGGGAGGGGCTGCTCCCGGGGCAGGGATGGGGCTGGGGGGGACACAGGAGCCGACCCTGGGTGACCTCTCAGAACTCCAGTAGAGACACTGAGCCGATTCCATGCCCCCCTTGAATTTCACGTAGCTGACAGGCAGAGAGCGCTCCCACCTAACCACCGGCTCACCCCTCAAAGGCCTGCAACGGCCCAGGGACCAAAGCCAGGAGCCAGGGCCAGTCTGAGTCCCGCGTGGACGGCAGGCGCCCAGCTCCGTGAGCCATCGCCTGCTGTTTCCCAGGGTGCACCACGGCAGGCAGCTGGGGCTGGGACGGGGCGCGGGTGCTACAACGTGGGTGCAGGCATCCTGATCAGGTCACAGCTGCCAGGCCAACGGCTGCCCCCACCTCCCGCTGCCGCTGAGACGGGGCACAGCACACATCCCTTTCCTGGGGGGCATCTGGCCCGCCATGAGACACTACTGGGGGGTGGCAGCCGGGACGAGTCCAGGGTACCCCCGCGCAGAGCCGGCTCCACGCACGGCCAGGACACGGGGCCCAGGTGTGCCCAGCCTCCAGCGCTTAGAAATTCCCCTGCGGCGCTGCCCCCGGCCACCCCGACAGCCGCTGCCTCGGCTCAGGGGGACACCACGCCCTGTACCTCGATCCCGGGCGCTCCCACGGAAGCCTGCACAGCCGCCGTCTCACGGCACCCACACCACAGGGGCAGGGCCTCAGCTCGGGCGCGAGCCTGTCAGGGCCCGGGGCCGCCCTCCCGCGCTCCTCTACAACTCACTGGCCACGCCGCCATCCCCGAGCACGGGGCACGGGCACCTAGGGTGCAGCCCCGCCTCGGGTCCCACGGCCGCAGGCAAAGCGCCTGGCCGTGCCCCAGCTGGGGCGGAGGGGGGTCCCGGCCCCAGGGCCCCCCAGCTGTGTACCTCAGGGCAGACTTCCCCATTCCCCTGCGGGCGCCCAGGTCACCTGGCGCGAGCCCCCACGGCCGCTCTCACCTTCGGGGGCTTTGTCCACCGTGTACCAGAGCTTGAAGCGCGCGGAGTGCTGGCTCCTCAGCTCCTCCAGCTCGGGCCGCAGCAGGATGTCCTTCTCGGTCTGCAGGGACGGGCGGGGCCGGCGGTCAGGAGGCTCACGTGCCCCCAGCGGGGCTGCCGGGGGAGACGGGCCTGCACCCCGCCACGGGGACGGGAAGAGGTGGGAGAGGGCGGCCAGCACAGGGCTTGGGCCCCTGCCACCCACACGGGGACCCCGAGGCTGGACTCCCTCTGCCTGAAGGAATGCAGTTTTTTTTATAAAGATTTATCTATGGGAGCCGGCTGTGGCGCAGCGGGTTAGCACCCTGGTCTGAAGCACCGGCATCCCATGTGGGCACCAGTTCGAGTCCCGGCTGCTCCACTTCTGATCCAGCTCTCTGCTGTGGCCTAGGAAAGCAGTAGAAGATGGCCCAGGTTCTTGGGCCCCTGCACCCACGTGGGAGACCAGGAAGAAGCTCCTGGCTCCTGGCTTTGGGTCAGTGCAGTTCGCTCGCTCTCTCTCTCTCTGCCTCTCCTCTGTGTAACTCTTTCAAATAAATAAATAAATCTTTAAAAAAAAGATTTATTTATTTACTTGAAGGTCAGAGTTAGAGAAAAAAGGAACGACAGAGAGAGAGGTCGTCCATCTGCTGGTTCACTCTCCAAATGGTCGCAACAGCCAGGGCGGGGCCAGGAGCCGGGAGCTTCCTCCGGGTCTCCCCACCCCGCAGGAGCAGGTCTCCCGCGGGGCTCCCGAGCCCGCTTTCTCATCCTCTCGTGACCAGGCAGGGCCTGCTGTCTCTGAAGCCCCGTGGTTCGGGCTCCCACTCCTCAGCCCCGTCGAGGCGTCCTTGGCCGTGTGCTCTGTCTCCCGGTTTTGCGTCATGTTCTCCTGTGAACTCCCGCTAGGAATTCCAGCGTCACTTCAGCAAGATCGGACACGCGGACACTCCGGGTCCCCGGGCCGACGACAAGCTGCGACGTGTCACTGCTCTGCAGGCCACTCTCTCGTCCTTCTCAGAGCCCACCCAGCGCCTCGCCTGGCCCGGCCCGGGGGCCCCCGCAGCTCTGGGAGGTGAAGTCCTTCTCTCTGGAGGCCGCAGCTGTGGCGCAGCAGGTTAAGCCACCAGGCCAGCTCCCTGCCAATGCGCCCGGGAAGGCAGTGGAGTGCGTGGGCCCCTGCACCCGTGTGGGAGACCCCGATGGAGCTCAGGCTGCTGGCTTCCGCCTGCCCAGTCCCAGTCGTTTTGGCCTCGCAGCGTGTGAAGCAGCGGTGGACGGCCGGTCCCTCTCCCCGTCGCCCTCTCTGACACGCTGCCTTCCTCTTCAGTCTCCTCCGCCGGGCCACGGTGGGTCTCGGCCTCAGCGCTCATCTCGTGCCGTGAAGTGGCGGCCGCTGGCTCCCCCGTGACGCGGGAGGAAGAGGGGGGGCTGTGACCCCCAGGACGGGGCCCCGTCTGAGAGCCAGTGCAGCGGTCACTGAGGAAGGCTGGGGGCAGTGGCTGGAGGGAGTGGCTCCCAGCGTGACCAGGGGACCCTCCAGGGTGCCCGCGAGGCAGAGCTGCCATCTGCACTTTTCACTCTGGGTCCCCTATAGCTTCGGGCTCTCTCTCCCCACCCCAGGGCCTGGTCAAGGCCAGCCTGGGTGGCCCTGGGGAAGCCCCTGCGGCTGTGCGGGGTCCAAGGCCCCACTGCGCTCAGCTCTACCACAGGTGGTCGGTACAAAGCTTGGGCCAAAACCCGGGACAAGCGGAACTGAACCCCACCGCGGAGGGCATCCCCTGTACCACAGGCACAGCCAACCAGCTCCTTCCAGGAGAGGAGCGGAGCCCAGGGAGGGGCAGCGATTTGCCCAAGGCCACAGAGCAGGCCAGGGCAGGCAGGCGGAGGGCCAGGAGTCATGCAGGGCTCGAAGCCCACCCCAGCGCCCTGCGGCCCAGGGCTCTCAGCACCGCACGTGCAACTCGGGCCCCTCCAGCTCCAGGCCAAGCCCGGGCCTGTGTCTTCCCAGGCTCGGTGGCTTCCAAGCTCTGCCCCGGTGAAGGGAGCCCTCGGGCCTGGAGGAAGCAGCTCCGGGTGGGGGTGCTCGGGCACGCCAAGTTCTGGGTTCCGAGCCCTGGTCCCCGCCTGGCTGCGGGCACACTTACGGCATCTCCAGGGGACCCACTGACCTGGTTGGCAAAGAGCAGGTGGCACACGGTGTGGTCATCGGGGTCCTTCATGATGGCGCGGATCACCTGCAGCATTGGGGTGATGCCTGGAAAACAGCCAGGGACCCCCGTGCGCTGAGCACCTGCCGCGTGTGCGCAGGCGGGCGCCAGGGGCCCGGGGGCGGAGGTGCCGGGCCAGCTGAGCCTAGGCCCTGACCCCGAGCGTCAGCCCTCACGACCTGTGCCTCACCCCACCCAGCCCTGGCCTCAAGCTCCACCTACAACACCCCCGTGAGAGGCTGCGGGCCCACCTACCGGTCCCTCCTGCGATCATGCCGACGGACTTCACCGTCCTGACGACAGGGCTGGACTTCTTGTCGGGACGGATGGCGAACTTGCCTGGGGGAAGAAGAAGGGTGAGGCCTGGGGTCCCACGGGCGGGAGGACGGGCTCCCACTGGACGTAGGGGCAGCCGTTGGACAGACCCCACCAGCCAGGGAGACAGGGTGGAGGGGACGCTGGGGCCCAGAGAGGCCCCGACACGGGCCCCACTGCGGACGGGCACTCCCGCCCGGGCCTTGCTTGTTTGTCCTCAGACTCTGGGCAAGCCAGGGCTGGTCCCAACCGGACACGGAGCCCGCACGGCCAAGCGCCCCTGTGCAGGGGCAGCCGCAGTTCTGGAGAGACAGAGCACACTCACCCCCACCCCCACAACGCAGCTCCCCGGCGATGGGGCCCCCCGTCACCTTTGCCCTGGTAGACCAGCAGCCCGTTGGGGCCCCTGAACTCAATGGTGTCTCCAATCTGCATGTTTTCCAGGTACTGGGACATCTTCCCTCCAGCGGGAAACTTGGGATGTGTGTCCTTGAAGTAAACCTGCAAGACGCAGCCACGCTCAGCCCCCAGTGCCAGGGGCTGCGGCTGCAGGGGAGGTGCCCTCGGGGTGCCCCCACTCCCCGACCAAAACTTCCTGCCCCCCAGGAGTCTGCTCCACCCGGCACAAGGGAGCCCTGAGACCGGGCCGTGGGAGCCTCCACCTGCCACGCCGGCCCCCACGTCAGAGCGCTGGTTCAAGTCCAGGGGCGGCCCCCACGTCAGAGCGCTGGTTCAAGTCCAGGGGCTCTGTCTCCAATCTGACTCCTGCTAAAACGCCTGGGAAGGCAGCAGTGGAGGGCCTGAATATCTGGGGTCCTGTCACCCGCACGGGGGGCCTGGATGGAATTCTGGGCTCCTGGCCTTGGCCTGGCCCGGCCCCGGCTGTCACGGGCATCTGGAGAATGAACCAGGGGAGGCGAGATTTCTCTCCCCGTAACTCTTTCAAATAAATAAATAGATCTTATAAAAGACAAAATAAATTAAAAAAATTTTAACAACAAAACCAGAAACAGCGACCGGGCAGCGGGGGACGCAGGCCCCATCTGAGGCCTCCCTGTGGCGCCCCAGCCCCGCCGAGCCCTGCAGGGCCCACCTTGACAACGAGGTCCACGAAGCCCTTGTCGTCGTCGCTGGAGACGGGCGTGTAGGGCCGGATGACCAGGCTGCCATCGATTCGAGCCGACAGGTAGATGTGCTGGCCTGCGGGGGGGGGGAAGCATCGCTCTGGGCCAGGGGCTACCTTGCAGGGGACAGCTCCGGCAGCCACCCCACAGCCCCGCCCCACGCCCCGCCTCTCCTCCCCCATGGGGATTCCCTTCCCATCCCAGCCAGCAGTGTCCACACCCCTGCCCCTGCACCCCCCCCCCAGGCCCAGGACAGCTATCACCTCCTCCCTGAAGCCTTCCTGCCAGGCCCCCTGCAGGGGTGGGCAGGACTTACCGATGGGGAGGCCCAGGATGTGCTGGGGCGAGGGCAGTGCGAAGCGGAAGCGCCGGGTGTCGTGGTTGATCACCTGCAGGGAGGCCGGAGCTGCTGCATGGCACCCCAGCGGCACCCCCCACACGGAGCCCACCATCTCTGCCCAGCGATGCAGACCCCACACATGGACGTCCACACTGGGTCAAGCCCACGGAAAATCCCAGGCGCTGGAGGGAGCAATCCCCCGACCATCAGCTGGGACAGCAGGAGGAACCCGGGGACTGGCCAGGCAACGGAGAGGCTGCACGTGCCCGGGCCAGGCCAGGATGGATGGGGGGTCCAGGAGCCCCTGTACTTACAAGGCCGAGGCTGGGCTGTGACGGGGCAGCCCCCAGTGCCCGGGAAGTACTGAGCCCAAAGCCAAGCCTTCACCCTGCATGGGGTGGGCACCTGGGCGGGGCCAAGGACAAAGCAGGCCTTCAGCCACAGCCAGGAAGTACCATGCAGCGAGAGCTAGCCAGAGCTGACACCAGACCCCAGTGCCCTGCCTGCCAACCAGGGCTCCAGGAGGCCCCTTGGGGTCGCCCGTGCACTCAGAGTGGCCGGGAGTGAGGCAGGCGGCAGCTGAGCCCGTTGTGCCCACGTGCACTGGTGGCAACAGAAGGCCACGGCCACAGCCACGTTGGCAAGAAACCTCTCAACTCAGCCCAGGAAGAGCTCCCCAACCCCCAGAAGTACCCAGCACAGGGCGGGGGTCCCAGGACAGATCCCGTGGCTGCAGCATGGGGCGCGAGGCTGATGCCCGGCACCACCCAGGAAGCAGGCTGTGTAGCCAGCTGGCCGCTGCGCCCCAGAAGCCTTTGCGCTCAGGGAAGAGGGGGTCCCACAGGTCAAGGGCCACGCCCACAAGCTGGCCCACTTCTGGAGGAGGAACGGAAATGTGGGCGACACACTAAGGACCGCTCGGGGCAGCCTCGGGCAGGGCAGCCTACAGGGCACAGCGGAAAGAACCAAGCCCACGGCCGGGCACGGACGCAGGACGTCTGTCACGCGTCCAGCTGAAGGGCACCTCCCTGTGATGGAATGCTAGGCAGTCGGCAAAAACACGAAGCAGCCCTGCGTTAAACACGCATTGTGTGGCTAAACTGAAAAAACAAATCAACAAAAATAAAAAAGGAAAAAGAGGGCCGGCGCCGTGGCTCAATAGGCTAATCCTCCACCTTGCGGCGCCGGCACACCGGGTTCTAGTCCCGGTCGGGGCGCCGGATTCTGTCCCGGTTGCCCCTCTTCCAGGCCAGCTCTCTGCTATGGCCAGGGAGTGCAGTGGAGGATGGCCCAGGTGCTTGGGCCCTGCACCCCATGGGAGACCAGGAAAAGCACCTGGCTCCTGGCTCCTGCCAGGATCAGCGCGGTGCGCCGGCTGCAGCGGCGGCCATTGGAGGGTGAACCAACGGCAAAGGAAGACCTTTCTCTCTCTGTCTCTCTCTCTCACTGTCCACTCTGCCTATCGAAGAACAAAGACAAAAAAAAAAAAAAGGAAAAAGAAAGAACCAAAGTGCGCACACAGCTGCCCCTCCCCCCAGGGCGCGTGCACGAGACGCTCAGACAGACGCTCGGACAGACGCTCGGACGCTCGGACAGGCTGCGCGGGACACTCCCCACCCAGGACCTGCGAGGCGGCACTGGCAAGCCCACTGCACTTCAGGGATTAAAACAAGAGAAACGGGCCGGCGCTGTAACACAGCAGGTTAACGCCCTGGCCTGAAGCACCGGCATCCCACATGGGTGCTGGTTCGAGTCCCGGCTGCTCCACTTTCCATCCAGCTCTCTGCTGTGGCCCGGGAAAGCAGCAGAAGATGGCCCCAGTCCTTGGGCCCCTGCACCTGTGTGGGAGGAAGCTCCTGGCTCCTGATCGGGGCAGCTCTGGCCATTGCAGCCATCTGGGGAGTGAACCAGCAGATGGAAGACCTCTCTCTCTCTCTGCCTCTCCTCTCTCTGTGTTACTCTGACTTTCAAATAAATAAATAAATCTTAAAAAAAAAAAAAAAAAGAAAGAAAGAAACGAATGTTGAAATAAGGTTTTCAGGCCTCCTGTGCACCCCTGAGTGGGGGCGCCTGGGGTGGGGGCGCCTGGGGTGGGGGCCTCGCCCTCCTCTTCAGACCAGCTTCCTGCAAGTGCACCTGGAGGCAGCAAGTGACGGCCTAAACACCTGGGTCCCTGACGCCCCCGCGGGCCACCCGGAGGCAGTTCCTGGGCCCACGTGGGAGACCGGAGGCAGTTCCTGGGCCCACGTGGGCAACCCGGAGGCAGTCCCTGGGCCCACGCGGGAGACCCGGAGGCAGTCCCTGGGCCCACGCGGGAGACCCGGAGGCAGTCCCTGGGCCCACGCGGGAGACCCGGAGGCAGTCCCTGGGCCCACGTGGGCAACCTGGGTGGAGTTCCTGGGCCCACGTGGGCGACCCGGAGGCAGTCCCTGGGCCCACGTGGGAGACCCGGAGGCAGTCCCTGGGCCCACGCGGGAGACCCGGAGGCAGTCCCTGGGCCCACGTGGGCAACCTGGGTGGAGTTCCTGGGCCCACGTGGGCGACCCGGAGGCAGTCCCTGGGCCCACGCGGGAGACCCGGAGGCAGTCCCTGGGCCCACGCGGGAGACCCGGAGGCAGTTCCTGGGCCCACGTGGGCAACCTGGGTGGAGTTCCTGGGCCCACGTGGGCAACCTGGGTGGAGTTCCTGGGCCCACGTGGGAGACCTGGAGGCAGTTCCTGGGCCCACGCGGGAGACCCGGAGGCAGTTCCTGGGCCCACGCGGGAGACCCGGAGGCAGTCCCTGGGCCCACGTGGGCGACCCGGAGGCAGTCCCTGGGCCCACGTGGGAGACCCGGAGGCAGTCCCTGGGTCTTGGTTTAGCCGTTGGAGGAGTGAACTAGCTGATGGACGGTAGGTATCTTTCTCTTCTCTCTCTATTTGTACGTGGGTGACAGGGAAGCAGGAAGCTGGACTAGGGAGCCGGAGCCAGGACTCGACCCAGGCGGCTAGACACGGGACATGGGCATCCTGGTGGTGTCCTCACTGCCCCGGGCGTGTGTCACTTCTCTTGGGTTTCCGGCTCATCCATGAACCCCAGGACAACTCCACACATGTGCCCCATCAGCCATGGGGAGCCACGGGCCCTGCCGCCAAGACCAGAAACGCGCGGGACACGGGCCAGACCTGCCGCCACAGGCCAGGGGTGAGGCCAGGCCCCGGGGCAGCAGACTTTCTCTGCTCCGTGACTCAGTGCTCCCTGCCACACCCCGCTGGAGGAAGCCGGGGTGGCCAGGAATAGAACGAGGGGGGGGGGGCGGCTTCGTGGAGGGAGAGCGCCCAAGTGAGGGCGCAGCGAGGGAGCCCGGGGCCAGTTCTGACTCAGGGGCTCTGACTCAGGGCTGGAGCCTGGGAAAGCAAACTGCCAAGTGGGAGGAACCACACCGGGGGAGCAGGGCACACACACACACAGGCAGAGGCCGGGGGAGCAGGGCGCACACACACACAGGCAGGGGCCGGGGGAGCAGGGCGCACACACACACACAGGCAGAGGCCGGGGGAGCAGGGCGCACACACACACACAGGCAGAGGCCGGGGGAGCAGGGTGCACACACACACAGGCAGAGGCCGGGACAGCAGGGCGCACACACACAGGCAGAGGCCGGGAGAGCAGGGCACACACACACACAGGCAGAGGCAGGGAGAGCAGGGCACACACACACACAGGCAGAGGCCGGGAGAGCAGGGCACACACACACACAGGCAGAGGCAGGGAGAGCAGGGCGCACACACACACAGGCAGAGGCCGGGAGAGCAGGGTGCACACAGGCAGAGGCCGGGACAGCAGGGCGCACACACACACAGGCAGAGGCCGGGAGAGCAGGGTGTACACACACACACAGGCAGGGGCCGGGAGAGCAGGGTGTACACACACACACAGGCAGAGGCCAGGAGAGCAGGGCACACACACACACAGGCAGAGGCCGGGAGAGCAGGGTGCACACACACACAAGCAGAGGCCGGGGGAGCAGGGCATACACACACAGGCAGAGGCCGGGGGAGCAGGGCACACACACACACAAGCAGAGGCCGGGGGAGCAGGGCACACACACACACAGGCAGAGGCCGGGGGAGCAGGGTGCACACACACACAAGCAGAGGCCGGGGGAGCAGGGCACACACACACAGGCAGAGGCCGGGGGAGCAGGGCACACACACACAGGCAGAGGCCAGGAGAGCAGGGCACACACACACAGGCAGAGGCCGGGGGAGCAGGGCACACACACACACAGGCAGGCAGAGGCCGGGAGAGCAGGGCGCACACACACAGGCAGAGGCCGAGGGAGCAGGGCACACACAGGCAGAGGCCGAGAGAGCAGGGCACACACAGGCAGAGGCCGGGGGAGCAGGGCACACACACACACAGGCAGAGGCCGGGAGAGCAGGGTGCACACACACACACAGGCAGAGGCCGGGGGAGCAGGGCACACACACACACAGGCAGAGACCGGGGGAGCAGGGTGCACACACACACACAGGCAGAGGCCGGGGGAGCAGGGCACACACACACACAGGCAGAGGCCGGGGAGCAGGGCGCACACACACAGGCAGAGGCCGGGGGAGCAGGGCACACACACACAGGCAGAGGCCGGGAGAGCAGGGTGTACACACACACACAGGCAGAGGCCGGGAGAGCAGGGCACACACACACAGGCAGAGGCCGGGAGAGCAGGGTGTACACACACACACAGGCAGAGGCCGGGAGAGCAGGGCACACACAGGCAGAGGCCGGGAGAGCAGGGCACACACAGGCAGAGGCCGGGAGAGCAGGGCAAAGGAGAGCAGGGGAGCAGGCACACACACACACACAGGCAGAGGCCGGGAGAGCAGGGTGTACACACACACACAGGCAGAGGCCAGGAGAGCAGGGCACACACACACACAGGCAGAGGCCGGGAGAGCAGGGTGCACACACACACAAGCAGAGGCCGGGGGAGCAGGGCATACACACACAGGCAGAGGCCGGGGGAGCAGGGCACACACACACACAAGCAGAGGCCGGGGGAGCAGGGCACACACACACACAGGCAGAGGCCGGGGGAGCAGGGTGCACACACACACAAGCAGAGGCCGGGGGAGCAGGGCACACACACACAGGCAGAGGCCGGGGGAGCAGGGCACACACACACAGGCAGAGGCCAGGAGAGCAGGGCACACACACACAGGCAGAGGCCGGGGGAGCAGGGCACACACACACACAGGCAGGCAGAGGCCGGGAGAGCAGGGCGCACACACACAGGCAGAGGCCGAGGGAGCAGGGCACACACAGGCAGAGGCCGAGAGAGCAGGGCACACACAGGCAGAGGCCGGGGGAGCAGGGCACACACACACACAGGCAGAGGCCGGGAGAGCAGGGTGCACACACACACACAGGCAGAGGCCGGGGGAGCAGGGCACACACACACACAGGCAGAGACCGGGGGAGCAGGGTGCACACACACACACAGGCAGAGGCCGGGGGAGCAGGGCACACACACACACAGGCAGAGGCCGGGGGAGCAGGGCGCACACACACAGGCAGAGGCCGGGGGAGCAGGGCACACACACACAGGCAGAGGCCGGGAGAGCAGGGTGTACACACACACACAGGCAGAGGCCGGGAGAGCAGGGCACACACACACAGGCAGAGGCCGGGAGAGCAGGGTGTACACACACACACAGGCAGAGGCCGGGAGAGCAGGGCACACACAGGCAGAGGCCGGGAGAGCAGGGCACACACAGGCAGAGGCCGGGGGAGCAGGGCACACACACACACACACAGGCAGAGGCCGGGGGAGCAGGGCGCACACACAGGCAGAGGCTGGGGGAGCAGGGCACACACACACACAGGCAGAGGCCGGGGGAGCAGGGTGTACACACACACAGGCAGAGGCCGGGGGAGCAGGGTGCACACACACACAGAGGCAGAGGCCGGGGGAGCAGGGCACACACACACACAGGCAGAGGCCGGGGGAGCAGGGCACACACACACACAGGCAGAGGCCGGGGGAGCAGGGCACACACACACACACAGGCAGAGGCCGGCCAGCCCGAGCAGAGAAGCCCCTGGCCTCAAGGACCTGGGCCCCAGCCTCTCCCCACTTCCCCAGAAGGCACGGGGTCCCGTCTACTCTGCCATCCCTGGGACAGGCAGCGCGGTTCAGAGAATGTTGTGCGGTCAGACAGCCCTGGGTCGGGTGCCTTGGCCCCGGCCCGGTGGGGTGCTGACAGGGCGGGGGCACCCACCTCCTTGTCCACGAGCCGCAGCGGGTACTTGACGTCCGGGCTCTCGAGGGTGATGGCCGGTTTGGAGCGCTGGAAGAGCTTCATGAGCAGGCCGTAGAGGAACCAGACTGGGGACAGCGCCACTTGGCCCAGCTGGAAGGATGGGGGTAGGCCCGGCGGTCAGCTCCAGAGCCCCCCCCCCCCCGGCAACTCCCGGCACAGCCCCCCCCCCCCATCCAAAGAACCTCAGTATCCCTTCTAGCGCCTGCCGGCAGGAGCCACAAAAGCCAGACCCCTGCCACCGTGAGAATAAGTTCTTGGAAAAGCTCCACTTCCCCGAGGCACAGGTGCAAACGCAAGCATGCACCGGGCACGTGGCCCCTGTCGCTCGGCTGCCAGGACGCCCAGGGTAAAACCATCCTGAGGACTCTGCATCCGCGCCCTTTCTCCTCTTCCTCCCGAGAGTCCACTTCCCGGTCCTAAGTGACGTCCAGTTCTAGAAGTTCCATTTAGACAAAGCACGAACAACCCAGCTCAGGATCTGAGAGGCCTGACAAATGGCTCTGCTCTGAACTCAGTCCCTTGGGGCTGCAGGGGGGAAGCTCCGTCCCCCACCCCGCCCCATCCCCCTGCATGCCAGGGAACACACCAGTGAGGTGAGGGTGGACCGTGCCAGTTCTCCCGCATGAGGGCAACGGGTTCTGCACTTGGGTCTGGGGGCATCAGGCGCTCTGCCCCTCACCGCCTGTGTGACTGGGCAGGTCACTTCCTCTCGGGACGGGAGCACTAGCATTCCATGCTCTGCCCCCCAAGGCCAGTTTTGCCCAGGCACCAGCACCCGCAGCATGCCAACCTCAGGGGCTCCACCCAGCGACGGCCCTGTGAGCCCACTTCTCCCACGAGGGCAGCAGCTCACTCCCGGCCGTGTCAACCGCTCACTGCCCACACCCTGTCCCCGCAGCTCAGCCTCACACACACCCCAAGAGGTGGCCTGGGTGGTTTTAGACGTGGAAAACGCAGGTCCCATAGCCAGAGCCCCTGCTCAGGGTTAGCGGACAGGCCCGGGCCGCCCCTGCGGCTCCTCCCCAGGCTGTGTGTGCACGGCAGAGGGGCGGTGAGGACCGGGAAGGAGCCAGGAGAGCTTGCCAAGGGCCGGCCCCGCACCCGCAGCAGCCCCTGGCCAGTCCAGCTTCTCTGGACAACGGGGACCTGGCAGCCAGCGAGAAGGCCTCAAGATGCCCCCATGCCCGGGGGTGACCAGGGGGAGGCAGCAGCCACCGAGCACCTAACGCCCTGTGAGGGCCCACAGCTGTCCTGGTGGTCATGTGACCGTGACGCCTACCCCCCAGGACACACGGAGGGACGTTCTCCAGGAACACTGGCCAGGACTCGCCCGCCAGAGAACTGCCGCGGTGGGGGCTGGCGCTGTGGCTCAGCAGCTTAGCACTGGCTTCCCACCGGGTGCTGGGTCCAGTCCCGCTGCTCCACTTCCGATCCAGCTCCCTGGGAAAGCGCCTGGGAAAGCAGCTGAGGGTGGACCAAGCGCTTGGGCCCCTGCACCCACGCGGGAGTCTCGGAGGAAGCCCCTGGTTTCAGCCTGGCCCAGCCCAGCTGGCCATCGGGGGAGTAAGCTAGCAGACGGAAGCTCTGGGGCTGCCTCAGAAAAAGAAAGAAACACACACAGAGAGAAAGCAACATCTGCCCAGAACCTGTGTGCCTGCCTTATTTGGAAAAAGTATCTTTTTTTTTTTTTTTTTTGACAGGCAGAGTGGACAGTGAGAGAGAGAGACAGAGAGAAAGGTCTTCCTTTGCCGTTGGTTCACCCTCCAATGGCCGCCGCGGCCAGCGCGCTGCGGCCGGCACACCGCGCTGATCCGATGGCAGGAGCCAGGAGCCAGGTGCTTTTCCTGGTCTCCCATGGGGTGCAGGGCCCAAGCACCTGGGCCATCCTCCACTGCACTCCCTGGCCACAGCAGAGAGCTGGCCTGGAAGAGGGGCAACCGGGACAGAATCCGGCGCCCCGACCGGGACTAGAACCCGGTGTGCCGGCGCCGCAAGGCGGAGGATTAGCCTAGTGAGCCGCGGCGCCGGCTTTTTTTTTTTTTTTTTTTTAAGATTTGTTTATTTATTGAAAGGCAGAGATACAGAGAGAAAGAGGCAGAGGCAGAGAGAGGGAGGTCTTCCATCGGCTGGTTCACTCCCTAAAACAGCCGCAACAGCCACAGCTGGGCCAGGCTGAAGCCAGGAGCCAGGAGCTTCTTCCGGGTCTCCCACACGGGTGCAGGGGCCCAAGCACCTGGGCCATCTTCCGCTGCTTTCCTAGGCCACAGCAGAGAGCTGGATCGGGAGTGGAGCAGCCGGGACCAGAACCAGTGCCCAGACGGGATACCGGTGGTGCAGGCGGCAGCCTAACCTACACCACAGCGCCGGCCCCAAGGGAAGAGCGTCTTTGCAGACATCACTTTACGTGGATCCTGAGATCAGCCGCGCGGGCTCTAAACCCCTCAGAGAGGCGGCCACGGGCAGACGGGGCAGAGGGGGCGGTGCAGCCAGGGCCCCCCAGCTCCCAGGGAGGACGGCACTGCGGGCGCCGGTGTCAGCGCGGTGAAGGCACAGGGCTGCTGCGTCCAGCTGCCGGGAAACCAACACGGAGGCCGAGGACCCAGGGCTGAGCGTCCCCTGCGGCTGAGGCCAGATCACCGTCGGCACAGTGCCGGGCGGCAGCGCAGCCCCGCTCCCCCCACCTGACAGCTCTCCATGGCCTGCGAAAGGACGTCCTTGCTCTCGGGAGCGAGACGGTAGTCGGGGCGGGCAGACACACACACACACACACACACACACACACACGTCTAGAGAGAGAAACACCGCAGATGCTGGCCCCCGGGACGCACGGTGCAGGGCAAGGGCTCTTGCACATCGTCCCGGCCCACCGCACCTCTGCCGTTATCCAGAATTAGAAGGCGGAGCCTCCGTACGGGGTTCAGGGCCGCTGAGCACAGCAGGGCACGCGCGCACTTGCTCTCCAGCCGGCCTGCTCACTGGCCCTCCCAGTGCACCTCCCTGACGTCAGTCCTCGCAGCACATGACCGTGTGTCCCCCTCCCGTGACCTGCAGGCTCCCCTTTGCACCATGGCTGCCAGGAAGCTCAGAACCTCGCTTAGAGGCCTGGCTACTTCCTCCGTGGGGTCTCCCGTGGGCAGCACGGATCTCTCTCTATTGAGGGCCAGCTGAGACGCCTCTCACCTCACAGGGCCCAACCCCAACACCCCTCCCCTTCCTGGAGGCCCTGCCAGGGCTCCCACCACTTGGGGAGGGTGCCCCAGGTGAGCCTCTAGGCCCAGCCCGCCCCGGCAGGGAGATGAGAAGGAGGCTCTGTAACCTGAGACGTGGAGGCTTCTCCCGCCCCCTTCCTGGGGCCACAGCAACACAGCTGGCATCCCCCAGGGAAGGAGGGGCAGAGGCCCAGGCTCCCAAACCGGCCGGGCGGCTTCAGGTGGCCTGGCTGCAGTGGGGCCCAGGGCGAAATGCAGCTCTCCCAGGCGAGGCCTCGCCAGAGCCTTAGGAGGGTGCAGGTGCCTGGCCCACGCCTGCCCCGCCCGCACTGAGACGTGCCTCCCACGCTGGGGCTCATCGGTCCTGGCGGGCCGCTGTGGACACTGGGGTCAGAGGCTGGGTTTGCGTCCCCGCTCAGGACCTCAGGCAGTCATGTTGGGCCGGCGAGGAGGGCAGCTGAGGCTGTGAAAGTGACCTTGCACGGGCACTGCTCCCAGGCGGTGGGTGCAGGAGACAGGCCCAGAGAGGGTGAGCAACTTGCCCCAGGTCACCAAAGCCAGGCTCCCAGTGTCACCAAGGATCCGGTCAGCCCTGTTCTCGGACAGTTAAGTGACCTGGCAGCCATACAACCAACGGAGGCGGGGCTTGGGGGGCCGTCCAGTCCCAGGCCCCCTCTTCCCGAGCTGTGTCCCGGGACAGGCCCCCTCTCTGTGCCTAGTCACAGCCCCTGCAGCCTGCCCCTTGCCCCAGCTGCCCACAGGCGGCCCCCTCCTCAGACACCCACCGTGGCTCCCCACTGCCTGCCTTCAGCCTCATCTCCCAGTCCCTTGCTCCCCCACACTGAGTCCATCTGGCTTCGGGCCCTGCAAACACTCATTTCTACCTGAAATGGCCGTACGCATCCAATCAGCAAACTCCTACTCGCCCTTCAGAGCCCAGCCCTGAGGGCCCCTCACCCCTGGGAACTCCTGGGAGGGGGAGGACGTAAAAGAAGCCATGAGCACGGGACCAGCTCAGGGAGAGGCTGCGTGAAGTCGCACTCAGGAAATCCACACCGCTGGGACCTTGGGAACAAACTCAGGACACCCAGGGGCGGCTGTGCTGGGTGCTCCCTGCAGCTGTGTAAGTGCTGAGCCAAATTTAGTAACGCAGGACCTCCTTCCCCCACTTCCTCCCCGGGAGGGCCCTGCGGGGGGGGCGGGTTCTGCACTGTTTCCCACCTGGTGTCGCTCACCAGAACCAGCGCCTGGGAAAGACGCGTGAGCAGTGGTCCCTGGGCCTGGCCCCCGCCCCGTACAGCCCTTGTACCCCTGCCAGGCACCGGCCCCGGGGCTGGGAAGGGTGACGCCAGCTGACCCCGGCGTGGAAGGCCCAGGGCCTGTGTGTCTCCTCGCTGCCCTATCCCAAGTACTCAGCACAGGGAGTGGCCAACGAGCGCTTGTGGAATGCATTAGTGAAGGGACAACAAGGAGTCCCACTTCCCAGCCTCTCCCTGGCTCTTTGTCTGGAAGTTTCCAGAACCAGGGCGCGAGCCCAGACTCCACCCAGGCAACGGCAGGCACAGCCCATCCTGTTTGCCTCAGGAGCCCACTGCCCGCAGCGGGCTCGGCCCTGCAGGAGCGCCCCCCAGCACTGCCTCCCCACCTGTTAACCCCGCACAGGACACGCCTGCCTCTGGCCCCAGCCAAGGATCCTGCCACCAGTGTCCGAGGTCTGCCCCGGCCGCAGGGGCCACGTGAGCAAACCCGCACTGCCCGCGAGCCCACGGCCGGGCAGGCGCTGTCACCCTCCCTCGTGAGGTGCACACCTGAGCTGGGAGGAACAGGTGGGCATTTCAGCCGCAGAAACTCCTGCCTGGGGAAGCAGCTGCGGGCAGATCATCACTGTCCATCAGCCGGGCAGTCCGCACACCTCGGTGGGCACTCCGGTGTCCGCTGCAGAGGACACGGGCCAGGAGACCCCCACCCTGCGGAGCGCGAGCCCGTAGGGGAGGCAGACGCAGCAGAGAAGAGGGGACGCCCGCCAGGGGCAGTGCAGGGCCAGGGCTTTGTCGCCACGGGGGTGGGGGCACGCTCTGTTCCCACGGACGTGAGAAGGGGGCGGTGGGGGTGCGCTCTGTTCCCACTGACGTGAGAAGGGGGCGGGGGCGCGCTCTGTTCCCACCAACGCGAAGTGGACCCGGGTCTGCTTCCCAGCCCCCACTCCGTCCACGGCACCAGCCCCACCCCTACAGCAGCAGGTCAAGTAAACAGGAGGCAGATGGCTGAGGCCAGACCCTGCCCAGCTTCTCCTCGGCTGTGCCGCAAACACACACAGCTGCCTCCCAGTCCCCGACCTGACGCCCACAGCCTCGCTTTCCCTCTAACACAGCCGGGGGGAGGCACACAGGTGCCACTGTCCCAAGACGCCCAACTCACCCACCATGGCCGAGAGAGCCTGGCCTTACCGCCCACCCACACCACACCCCGCCCAGCTGCTCAGCCCTGGAACTCCCCCCCGGGAATAGGGCACCCGACGTGCCGGGGCCGGGTCTGGGGTAGGCAGAGAGCCCAGTCCTGCCCACACGCCAGCTCCCTCCCCTCAGGCTCTGCTCACCTGCCGGCCACCCGCCCACCGCTGTCCCTCCAGGATCTGAGCGACCACTTCCCTCCTGCTCCCCACTCCAAGTGGCAGGAAGTGGGAGGGAGTGGAGGAAGTTCTGCAGTGGGGTGGGGGTGGGGGGTCCCAGCTGGTCTAGGAACAATGGGGGGGCCAGGAGGGGGGCAGGTGGGCAGCCCAAGTGCTCTCTCCACTCACCACAGGGAGGCTGGGTCCTGCTTCTCGGGGGCAGGGGTCCCCCCAGGGGACAGTGGGAACACCTCGCGGACGTCACCTGCGGCACTGGTCTGTCAGGGCTGGGAGGCAGGGGAGCCACAGTCCGGAATGGAGGCCAAACCCCAACGCTCTCCCCAGGCGACTGGCAGACTCCGGGCCTGCGCCCCAAAGTGTGGGCAGAGCCTCCTGCAGGGCCTGCACAGCCCAGATAAGATCCCTGGTGCCCAGGTCCCCGGCGAGCCCCCGTGCCGGGAGCCCCGCTCAGGGCGTGTCGCGTGCATTTGGCACCAAGCCCGGATTCCCCGGAGGATTTGGGAAGAAGAGGCAGTTCCTGCCCAGGTCTCTTGACGGGCCTATCTTTTTAAAGGTTTATTTATTTGAAAGTCAGAGGCACACACACACACAGAACACACATACACACACATCTTCCACCTGCTGGTTCACTCCCCAGATGGCCACACAACCAGGGCTGAGCCAGGCCAAAGCCAGGAGCCAGGAGCTTCATCCGGGTCTCCCACGTGGTGGCAGAAGCCCAAGCACCTGGGCCATCTTCCACCGCCTTCCCAGGAGCATTAGCAAGGAGCCAGATTGGAAGCAGGGCAGCTGGGGCTTTAAAAAGCCAGGGCTCAGGGCCAGCGCTGCGGCACAGTGGGCTAACACCCTGGCCTGGAGCACTGGATTCTGTCCTGGTTGCTCCTCTTCCAGGCCAGCTCTCTGCTGTGGCCCGGGAGTGCAGTGGAGGATGGCCCAAGTGCTTGGGCCCTGCACCCGCATGGGAGACCAGGAGAAGCACCTGGCTCCTGGCTTCGGATCAGCGCAGCGCCGGCCATGGCGACCATTTGCGGAGCGAACCAACGGAAGGAAGACCTTTCTCTCTGTCTCTCTCACTGTCTATAACTCTACCAAATAAATTAAAAAGAAAAAAAAGAAAAACAACCAGGGCTCTACCCCTCACAGGAGACTACGAGCGGGTTCAGCCAGGGGACAGGTGACAATGCAGCCAACACCAGCCACAGGTGGAAGCAGCGCTGGGTGGGGGGACTGTAAACAGTGGAGGAGGAAGGCGGATTCTGGGGAAGCGGCCGCTGGGAAAGGCTGCCCTTTATCTGAACGCTCCCCAGAGTCCCGGGCTCACCACATTTTAGGAACAAATGCCCTTTTGCTTGGCTCCCCAAGGAGAAGGCTCCTGGCGCAGGAGTGGAGGGGGAGGGCACCAGGCCAGTACCGCCCACGCATGGCTCAGGTGGGGGCGGGGCATGCCCTCTGCAGCCACAGCCTCAGGAGTCCATCTGAGGCACAGCCCTTACCCCCCCACCCCCCACCCCGCCCCCTCCGCACAGCCTTTGTTTTTAAGAACTCAGAGGGAGCTGGCGCCGTGGTGTAGTGGGTAGGGCAGCTGCCTGCAGTGCCAGCATCCCTTATGGGCACCGGATCAAGTCCTGGCTGCTCCACTTCCGATCCAGTTTTCTGCTGTGGCCTGGGAAAGCCGTGGAGGATGGGCCAGGTGCTTGGGCACCTGCACCCACATGGGAGACCCAGGGGAGGCTCCTGGCTCCTGGCTTTGGATCACCTCTCTCTCTCTCTCTCTCTCTCTCTCTCTCTCTCTCTGCCTCTCCTCTTTCTGTGTAACTCTGACTTTCAAATAAGTAAATAAATCTTAAAGAAAGTGAGAGAGAAAGAAAGAGAGAGAGAAATCCGAGAGGAAGTGGCCTGGGAAGGGCATGAAGCCCTGGGCCAACCGGGGAGACGGCAGCCGGCGGTGGACTTTGGAGCCCAGGGCCCAGGCTCCCTCGGAGCTGTGGGCCAGCGGCCATGTCTGAGCGGCACTTTTCATCCGACAGCCTGGCCTCCCACCTGCTGAGGTCAACAGCACGGCTTCCCTGGGACAAGGGCATGGCCGGAGCTGGTGCCTGACCCGTTGCGGCCACGAGGGATCACACTGCTGCTCAAAGTCAGACCCTCTGATGGGGCGGGCGGGTGGGCGGCCTGGGGTTAAGACACCTTCGTCCCACCACGGAGCCGAGGGTCCAGGCCCCAGCCCCTGACTAACGCAGACCCTGGGAGGCAGCGGTGCCTGCTCGAATGACTGGGTCCCCTCTGCCCAGGCAGGGCTCTGGACTGAGCTGCCCGCTGCTGGTGTTGGCCACAGCCCAGCCCCAGACCCGGCAGGCGGGCAGGCAGGCATATGGCGCGGGAACCGGCAGACGAGAGCGAGAGTCTGTCTTCTCTCTGCCTCTCAAATAAACACTTAAAAAGATTATTTATTTATTTGTGTGAGAGGTAGAGCTACAGGCAGAGGCAGAGAGAGAGAAGTCTCCCATCCGCTGGTTCACTCCCCAGATGGCCGCAATGGCCAGAGCACTGCGCCGCTCCGAAGCCAGGAGCCAGGAGCTTCCTCCTGGTCTCCCATGGGGTGCAGGGCCCAAGCACTTGGGCCATCCTCCACTGCCTTCCCGGGCCACAGCAGAGAGCTGGATCAGAAGTGGAGCAACCAGGACTCGAACCAGCACCTGTATGGGATGCCGGCACTGCAGAGGGGCTTAGCCCACTACACCAGAGCCCCGGCCCCTAAATACGGTGTTTGTAACAAACCTGTGATCCAGTGCCACACACATTCACAGAACGTACACTCTGACACACATGCTCCTAGTCACTCACACGGACACACGTATGTGCACACATGCGTTCACACACACACACACACCCCCAGGTGACTCTAGAACGCTCCGGAAGTGTGTGGATTCTGAGCCTGAGACCTCTATCACCTCGTCTCTCGGTGCCCTCTGGCAGGACCTTCTGCGCGTGCCCTCCGATGGTCACTGTACACCACACCTGCTCTGTCACGCCCACACGCACACACATGCACCTGCTCCGTCACACCCACCCGCACACACACTGCACACGCACACCTGCTGTCACACCCACCCGCACACACTGCACACACACACCTGCTCCGTCACGCCCACCCGCACACACACTGCACATGCACACCTGCTCCGTCACGCCCACACGCACACACACTGCACACACACACCTGATCCGTCACGCCCACCCGCGCACACACTGCACAGACACACCTGCTCTGTCACGCCCACCCGCACACACACTGCACACGCACACCTGCTGTCACACCCACCCACACACACACTGCACAGACACACCTGCTCTGTCACGCCCACCCGCACGCACACTGCACACGCACACCTGCTGTCACCCACCTGCACACACGCACACACACACTGCACACGCACACCTGCTCCGTCACACCCACCCGCACACACACACGCACACTGCACACGCACACCTGCTCCGTCACGCCCACCCGCACTCACACCCCCGGACACCCGCAGCCACGCGCCACGCTCACCCTCACACCCGGGCGGTGCCAGGGAGGCCCCGCGGGCGCCGGAACCACAACCACAGCCTGGCCGCGCCCCTCGAGGCCGGAGGCCGGTGCCGGCCACAGCCAGCCGGTGAGTCACCGCCCCTCCGTCGCGCCAGGGCGGGTCGGGGCGCGGCCGGGGCAGGGGTCCCGCGCCTGGGCCCCGGCCCGGCGGTCGCGCAAGGCCGAGGGTCAGGGCCGCGCAGCCCCCCGCGCCGCCCCGCACGCCCGGCCCTGCGCCGGAGGCCCCGGCCCGCCTACCGTGCTGAGCTGGGCCCCCATGGTGCCGACGCGTTCGCTCCTCCGCCGCCTCCGCCGCCACTGCCGGCCGCCGCCCCGGGCCACGCCCCACGCCGCGTCACCTCGGAGGAGGGGCGGGGCCGGGCCGGGGCCGGGCCGGGGCCGGGCCGGGGCCGGGGCGGGGCCGGGGCGGGGCCGGGGCGGGGCGGAGCGACGGGCGCGACCTCCGGCGCACGTGGCGGCGCGCGCGGCGGCGGGGCTGCTTTGCGGCCGCGGCGTGTCCTGGGGCCGCGCGCGGGGCGGAAGCAAGATGGCGCTCTCGCGGCGGTCCCCGGAGCCAGACCCCGAGGTCCCGGCCTCGGAGCGCGGCGGGCCCCAGCTCGCAGCCCCGAGCGCGGTGCCGGCCTCCCGGGCCTCCCGGGCCTGCCTGTGCCCCGCGTGCAGGGCTCCGAACGCGTGGCCCCTGCCGCCTCGGGGCCCGCTCTGGCTCACCGTAGGGGTGCCAGGTCAAGGGGCCCCTCCACTCGGGCCGCCCATTGCCTCGTAGGTGGAGTGGCCCCTGCGTTCCCTACTGGGCTCCCTGAGGGCACCCCGCAGACTGGCGGGACCTCTCCCGCGTGCCTGGACCCGAGCACCGAGGACGCAAGCGCTGAGACGTGGACACCCGCTCTGCCCTCCTGGAAGGTCCGGGCTGCCGCCGTGGGCTGCGGGTGCTCCGAGCGCGGGCAGAGGAGACACGGGTGCTCTACCGACAGTCTGTGGTACTGTGCACGCGGGCTGCTACTGACAGTCTGTGGTACTGTGCATGCGGGCTCTACCGACAGTCTGTGGTACTGTGCACGCGGGCTCTACTGACAGTCTGTGGTACTGTGCACACGGGCTCTACTGACAGTCTGCGGTACTGTGCACGCGGGCTCTGCCGACAGTCTGCGGTACTGTGCACACGGGCTCTACCGACAGTCTGTGGTACTGTGCACACAGGGCTCTACCGACAGTCTGTGGTACTGTGCACACGGCCTCTACTGACAGTCTGTGGTACTGTGCACGCGGGCTCTGCTGACAGTCTGTGGTACTGTGCACGCGGGCTCTACCGACCGTCTGGGATACTGTGCACGCGGGCTCTACTGACAGTCTGCGGTACTGTGCACGCGGGCTCTACCGACAGTCTGTAGTACTGTGCACGCGGGCTCTGCCGACAGTCTGCGGTACTGTGCACACGGGCTCTACCGACAGTCTGTGGTACTGTGCACACGGGGCTCTACCGACAGTCTGTGATACTGTGCGTGCGGGCTCTGCTGACCGTCTGTGGTACTGTGCACACGGGCTCTGCCGACAGTCTGCGGTACTGTGCACGCGGGCTCTGCCAACAGTCTGCGGTACTGTGCGTGCGGGCTCTACCAACAGTCTGTGGTACTGTGCACGCGGGCTCTACCGACCGTCTGGGATACTGTGCATGCGGGCTCTGCTGACCGTCTGTGGTACTGTGCACGCGGGCTCTACCGACAGTCTGT